GAGCGTTATATATACTCAGGCGACTGCTTATCGGGTTATATCTCTGTCCGTGGCCGCTTCTCTGCTGCGCGAGATTTTTTTTTCCTCCGGCCGAGGGATGTTCCATTAAGGGGGTAGAGAGCAGCAGCCAGAGAGAAGCTGTGGCCACAGTCGTAAACTCATTTCGCCTTTAAATATTATATATTATTGTACATACATCATAGGGCTCTCTCAGAGCTCGTAGCTCGCAGCTCTCCTCCTAATTACAAGCAGAGTAGCAGCAGCAGCAGTAGTGGTAGCAAAAGAGGGCCGTTATTTAGAAGGCGTGTAGCTTTGGGTGTACGATGATCGATAAAAATGAGCGCTTACGCAGCGATATTCGGGCTAAGCCAAAGACGTCATGTGCCGTAGAAACGGCAGCAGCAACAAAATGATATAGCGCGAGACCAAATATTCATGTAAATTATCGTTGCCAAAGATACACATAATAATTTGCATAGAAGCCAAGCGAAGCAGCATCAACAGTCCAGGGAGAGTAGTAGTCGCGTTCGTTCTTTGCCTTATAGGCCTATATCGCGCGTTTAATTTAAATAATGCTCGCCCACGCCGCCGTTTCCGAGCGCTCGAGCGCGAGCAGATATACATAAAATCGCTATAACGTACTTAAACTGATCTGTAGTAGCACGCCTCGGTCTTATATATTTTCGCGCTTCTGTAGGGGTATTATAAAGCTCCTCTCCCTACGATAGCTCGACGAGCGCCAAAATTAACACTTGCTGCCCATATCCTTTGCTCCGATATAGGCCAACAACGTACGTTCTCCTTCTCATACGTGCGTGCTCGGTATTATATTCACTTTTCTTTTCTCTTTTTTAACAGGCATTATACGACGCATAGGCAAACCCGAAGCAGATATCGTGGCGCGCCCGTGCTCGCGTTATATCTAAGTGGTTTTTCCAGCGGCAAAAGTAATAGCCCCTGCGCCTCACCCTGCCCGCCTCGTCGCTGCATATTGTGACAAAGTTTCCAGCGCAAGAGCTAGAGCTCGTAGCTCGCAAATGGCGGCTCGCTGTGTTGCTGTTGCTGCTGCTGCCTCGTATTAGGTGGAGATTAGTGATACAGCGCAGCCTTTTAGCGGCGTAATGTACGAGACGTGTGCGTAAGGCAAACGACTTGGCGAAGCACAGGCCCCCGTAGCCGTGTGCACCTCTAGGCGCCCGCCTAGGCTAAATAATAACAAGCTCGCGACGCTGCATATATACGGCGAGCATTAGTCGTCCAATCATTCGTCACGTCGTGCCGTTTCATATATCTATATGCGTATTACGTACGTACATGACGCGCTATACGGCAGACAAACAACGCGAGACTAAAAGGCAAAAATTGAGACAAATCTCGAGGCAGCGCGGAACGGGCTTCTGGGAAGCAAATGTTTATACAGCTCGAGCTTACGCGACACACGGCAGCTCGCCGACTGCGACTCTGCGCGTATGTATTTGAAATGCGCGTGCTTATATTACACGACGCCACACGAGTTCGCTTCATGTTTTGCTCGGGAGAAAGAAGAAAAAGCTCGAGCGTATAATACACTCGGGGTCGTCCGGGCGTCATCAGGCGCTATCAATAAATCGCAAGCTCGCAGCGAAGTTACGCGCGTTTAAGGTTACGCGCCGCGAAAGTTTAAACGCGCGTAAGTTGCCAACTAATAAGCAGCAGCAGAGTAGCTGTTACACACACATACACACGGCAGAGACAGCCGTGCATGTATGTGTACGCGAGTAAGAAGGCAGGAAAAGGGATGGGAAGGGGTCGATGAAAGGCAGCTCTCTCTCTCTCTCTCTCACGACACTATCATAAGCTGTAACGGGACACCGATTACGCGACACCTTGATCGCAAGCTCGGAACGCCTAAATTGGCTAACTTCGAGCGCGCCGCTATACTACAGCTATACTGGCGCTCCTCGTTTCCCAAAGCCTCGTTATAACACACGTCTTATGTCGCCCTCGTTACTTTGATTTTACCTGCCGCGCGATCACGTTCCCGCCTCATCGTCTTCGTCGTCCTCGTCTTCCTCGTCGCAACTTCCAAGCTCGATTGAATTTCAAAATTAAAGCTCGAGCCGACGAAAAGGAATGTTTAATTTAGCCGTATCGACGCTATGTAACGCCCTGTAGATAGCGCACGGGCAACATATCGTATACGGGCGCAATTGAATAGCGAAAGAATTTGGCATTCCGCTGCATTCTCTCTCTCTCTCTCTTTCTCTTACGCGGTGTAAATTTGTGCATTGTCTGCACAAAAGCGCAAGTTCATCGAAGCTATCGTGTCGCTGTTCATTGACGATGCAGCCTACCACAAGGCATAATATTAACTGCGCACGATATCGAAATGGCACACGTTCGGAGGGCAAAACCAGCAGCAGCTATAGCGCGTTTATAGTTCAAGCCTCGAGCGAGAGGTCGTAAAAGCTCGAACGGCGCCGCGCATAGTCAAAGGAGTAGGCGTAAAGCTCGGGAACGATACGGGAAAGCGACCGAGGGTATAGGGACACATAATTTAGTGGACAGTTTGATATACAAACAATCTTTAATGAAATTCTTGGTGTTCATTAATAACGCATCCGGCACTCTCGAGCCTTTTATCCGTGTAATTCGAGGCTCACTCCCTCTCTCTTTTTTTCTCACTCTCTCTCTATATACCTGCATTCGCTGGCACATACGGGGGGAACAACATCGTCGTCGTGTATATATAACGCGTGTGTACATACACGAAACTGCATCAGCTCTCGACCATCCACACACTCACACACACACACACACACACACACACACACGGGAGCTTTCGGAGCTTGATTTATCGGCCTCTGCGCGCCAAATTCTTGCTCTTCCGGAATTTTCGAAGGATCTTCTCTCACTCACGCTTTCGAATAAAATCAACCAGGCTCTAGTTTAATATCCCTTGATTTACGTGTGGCCAAAGACGCAAGTACATTATCACACAGACTGGAGACCATCTTTAACCGATCGTAAAACACGAAGAAATTCAATTGCTGGCACGGCTGGCTGAAAATTGGAACGCGCGACAATATCCTCCTCGCGCATAGTCTAACATATTTTTCAAACCGGTAATGGCTCGCTATATAATAAATATGTATTTTCAACGGGTATCTCGAGTTAAATTCGAAATTCTCAGTCCGAGCAATAAAAGCATATTAATATACCGACTGCTCTGTCGGTTACGTAGCCGTTTGAAAGAAGAAGCACACGCCTTATTAGAGAATTCCAGGCGTCTGGTCATAGACGACGACGACAGCGAAAGAGAGAGTCTGTGGCGGCAACGTAGATCGAAGCAAACTCGAATTCTATGATAATCAAATGGACCTGGGAGCCGCAGATATTGTTTCTCTAAATTGCATCAAATGTCGATGTGCCGTCGCTTCTGCCGCTGCTGCTGTTGCCACTGCAGGCCGTACTCGGAACGTCATCTCTCTCGCTCGCTCGCCAGTGTCGCTAAAAACGTCCAAGAATCCGAATGGCCGCGCGTAAAACGGTCGGACAATAAACTCCGGCATGTTATTAAAATTTCCCGCACTCGACTCTCTCTTCGCTCTTGTCTCTCTCTCTCTCTCTCTTTGCGAGCGATTCGCTCTTGAGCACACTTTCGTCCGAATTTTCAACGCGTGGATGATTTTAGCTCCGTCTATTTGTTCAACCAAGATTGAACGACAATTTGGCTAATTACGCGAGCGCACGGTACGCGCGAGTGAGAAAAAGACGAGCGTCGGACACTGGACGGCGCGTAATTGTCGGTACACGTTGGAAAATATACTTGACCCAAGTGTGTGCGTGTGCAAAGCAGCGCGACCGCCGAGAGAGAAAGAGCAGAAAGAGAGGATTGTATATTTAGGTGGGTGTGAGCTTGTGCGTATAGGGCTGCTGACCGAAAATGTCCCAATTGGCCTGTGCCGCTACTGCTCGAGTACGTTATTAAAGTACATTAGCCGCTGCTCAAATCGGACTAAACGATGTAACTTACTTTGGCCGCGATATTTCACACTCATACTCGAATAAAAGGTGGTTTTATTTTCACTCGAAAGAGGAAAGAAACCAAGTCTCGTCGTGCTCGTATCTGCGCACCCTCTGACCAACAGCGGCTTTTCTTTTTCTTTCTTTTCCTTTTTTCAGCACTCATCACACTCATTTTACTGTGCGTAAGTATCGCTGATTTTAGAATCGCTTCTCGACGTGATAATGCCCGCACGCTGTATATAATATTTCTAAAAAACTTTTAACCCGAAACTTTGCAATCCGAGTCACGACGAGTAAAGTTTGTGCGCGTTGGTGAGTAGCGGAGAAGAAAATTTCGACGCGTTCGAGCATCTAAAAGAGATATCGCGAAAAATCGCTAACTACAAGACTTGTTCTCTCTCCTACTGCCTGTTGGAAAAATTTATCCATCGTCGAGGAGTTGTGCCCTCTGGCTAAATGTCTGTGCCTCGGCCTAACGAACGGAGAGCTCGTTTCGTTGCCGCCGCCGTCGCGTCGCGAGTTTATGTGTATTACGTAGCTAGAAGCGCGAGCGGTGTATTACGCGCGCGGCTTATTCTTGTCTCGGGGCCGTGTCTGTGCCTGCCCTTCTTTCCACCAAATGTGTATTAATATCAAGGCATTTTCTAATTTTTTCTCTCTCCCTTCTCGTATCTTTGGCCCTTACCCAGCATCATGATTTCTCATCGAAATCGAACCGAGCGAATTCACCGCGAGGTAAATAATTATCTCATCACCGACTCCGCTGCTATCACCCTTGTTTTTTCATCCCCCCATCTTTCTTGAAAAATGCAAGTAACGAGCGCCCCAAAAATGTGCCGCTTATCTCTCTTGCGAATTTTTCAGCCAAACATACGATTATTACTCATAACTAGCTCCGTAGCTTATTATCTACCCTCATTTCAGCAACTTTTTACTCGAAAATGTAGACGAGTATGTATTAAGGAGGAACTGAATAAATTGTACTTCGTGTATTTATACAAAAAATTCGTGTTTATTGACTTGATTCGAGTATTTCATTTCTTTCCTTTTCATTTAATTGGACGTTGTCAATTCTCGCGCAGCGATACTATCACATCTTCCGTGGAATGCTTTTTGCGCCTCTTCTTTCATCCCAAAAGGTACATCTCGTAGAGCTTCCTGTCGTCCTCGGACTTGAAGTGAGGCACGAAGTTGATGTGCACGATCTCGCTGAAACCCTCGGCCTCGCTCGGAGCTACGAAGTTCTTCCTGTAAGAGGTCGGCAAAAATCCGGCAAAACGTATGTAGACGCGCAGACACAACAATAGAAACAGCTTGATAAATCTCACGCAGCTACGGGCCAGCTGCGGTCGCACAAAGCTGACAAGACAAAAAACAACAATACTCGTACGACGTACACATGGAAAAAGAAGAATCTAGGCCTTGAATAAGGGAGGAGGTAATTAAGCCATGCAAACTACCCAGTACCGATTGTTGTCCTTAACGTGCAGCATTAGTGGAGAGATATGTGCGATATTACGAAGATATAAACGAAAAGATACTTACAGGAAACTATTGATTATCATGTCGCTGATGGCTTCGTGCGTCGGGTCCGTCAAAATTCGATACTAAACAATTTATCGATTAATAAACCTCACATTTCTCTGATTATTTTTATTTTTCATTGTAATTACCATGTTGTTGTGCTTGACATGCTCTTTATCAAGGGTCATCACGAAGCAGCGAACAGGCACATTGTGTTTCTTTGCTAACTCGACGTATCTCAGTCTCGTGGCCTTGTCGGGGTTCGTATTGTCAACCACTACGCTTTTGCCCTGCTCCAGAGCAGCGTCCGTCTTAGCCACACATTTTTGCCAATTACCCAAAGTGTCTCTATTTACATATTCGTAATTTCTCAAGTGTGTTTTTGCAAAATGTGATTTTCCAGAGCCTGGACATCCTGCCATCAGAACCAGCTGACAAAAAATTGTTAATTTATTCTCATATAAAACTAATTTTCATAGTTTTTCTAAAAATTTACCTCTTGCTGGTCAGAGGTAAGCTTGGCCTGAGATGGCTCAAAGAGAACAGTATTTTTACTCGCTTCTTTTGGATTAAAAGCTGGAGCATTATAAGGTGCTTTTTTCTGACCAAGAAAATGTTCTTCTGGAGTGTAAAAAGTCAAATTTAAGTTTTCTGCCATTAACCTATCAGCTAAGGAATGATCTTTTTTCTTTCTGTTTCCTCCTGCTGGTCGACCAGCAGCATCACCAACATAAAATGAATTTTCTTTATCTACTGGTACTCCATCATTATTCTGAAAAATATAATTGTTTTAGTTCTCCATTGTGGAAAAAAAGATTAAACCTTACCTTATTTACTAAAAATTCCCACATTCCAGTGCAAGGTTTTCTATATTTATTTTGTCCAACAGCCAAGTGAACCTTTAAATAAATTTTTTATTAATAACAATAAAAATCTATATCTGTCTAACAAATATGAACAAACCTGCATTGGCACACCAATTTTTTTTACAACTTTTTCTATTTTGATTTTGAAATCTGCAACCTTGACCTTGCCAGTGCTTAAACCACCTTGATTTGAAAAAATGACAATTTTATATCCATCTTCATAGAATTTTTTAATTTTTCCTGGTACTTCAGGATACAGCAATTGCCAATCATTGCAATCTTTAGGAAATGATGCGCCAGATATAGTCTTTATGAGTGTTTTGTCCATATCATAAGCTGCAATCTATCAATGAAAGACATACATTTGAATAAAGATTAAATTTGCTGCATAAAACTATCAATTTAATGAAACTCTACCTTTGGGCGGCCTTCACATCCAACACTTGTATAAACCAGAAGATGCTTATGGTCCAATTCTTGCCATGAGCCACCCTGTGACACGCTACTTAAGCTAGCACTGTCATCGTCATCACTTTTACTTGTACCAGCCAAGTTGTAATTTTCCATAGTATTTTGTTTCACTTTTCTTGGACTGACTCGAGTAGCACCGATTACTTTTGCTTTCTTTGAGCTCTGGGTATCGTTGTCACTGTCCTCATCTTGTGTATCTTGTATCAGCAGTCTTTTCTTATTATCTTTAATAGGATTGATCGACGGCGGTGGATTAAACTCTATTTTGTAAGGATATTTGCCGTATAATACTTCAATATAGTCTCCATGCTGCACAGCAAGTCTTACTCCTTGCTCAGTCTTGAAGCCATTAACACTGCTTGGACGCGTACCAACTTGTTCAACGAATACCTTGTCATCATCATAGCTGGCATATAGTCGAACTGGCGGAAGAATCGATGATAAATCAATAATTGACAATGTATTTATAAAGAGAAAAAAAAGTAAACGCTGTCAGAGAGAAAAAATTCATATACATCATATTGTCACAATAGAAATAGAATAGCAGCAGTATTGAGGTTATGTCACGAGCTAACGTAGAATTATCATCGCTCGCAAAAAAAAACTACGCGCATCGTCCTCTCTTCTTATGCAAAGAGAGCTATTGGCACTGACAGCGAAATTGAAAAAAAAGTTGATTACGATTCGTGTACCGACCTTGCTTGCGCGAGCACTGAGGATCGGTGATCTTCGTGTCGACGCATCTGCCGATAAAGACCTCCTGCTTATCGGGCAAATAAACGGTCGACAAAGCTTTGTCGTCGCTGTAAATGTAGCAGGTTTTCGTTACCGTGGATGACATGTTGTCTTTTGTTGCACCAATGGCATGCTAAACCATCGTGGCTCGGCGAGATAATAGAAAAAGAGAGAGAAAGAGAGAGAGGCTGGCTGCTACTTTGACGTTTCAACGGCTTGTAAACAACGGCCTCATTTTTGCACGCGCGCGCGCGATCTCGTGTCGATCAGGCTGCCTGTTCGTGTGTGTACGTGAGTAGTGTTGTGTATACTGGTGTGTGTACAGTTTGGCCTCTGTCGTGCACCAATCTCTTACATATACGCGCGAAACTTCTCTGGCAAGGCGCCTTGTAGCTGCTCGAGTGAGTCACTCATGTATAATGTACACTACCAACGCGTTTAGGAGCACTCATGCTGCAGCTCTACTATCCTACCTTATACCTGCGTAATAGGCGGGTTTTTGCACCGCTAATCACGTGATCGGCTCGCGAAAGGCATATCGGGTCCCGATGACGTCGGTGAAATCGATCACAAAACCGCACACCGATCGCACGCACGTCTTATACCTTCTACTATACACGATGTGCGTCGTCGTACGTGTGCAATCTCCCCGTTACGCATGTATCGCATGCATCGCGTAAAGTGTGTTGCGCCAAACGTCGGTTGCGCGCCTATTTCTTTTTCCTATTTTCCGACGAACTTTCCATTACGACAGTATTACGTTATTTAGCACGGCCCGATGCGCACCTGCTGCTGCGATCGACGGGTAATCGCGAGAAATCACCGAACGATCTTAGCGAACGATCGGAGGAAAATGAAAAAGTACGGAGTAGACGTTGAAGAGGCTCATTCGTCGATGCTGGAGAGACGAGGCTTTGCCGAGTGAACCCGATGTCTATCTGGCATGTATTAAGTTTAGCTCTTCTCTATCTCTCTCTCGTGAAAAAATGTGTAAATGCACGTAGCAGCAGCAGCAGTAGCAGATCAGGGGCCGGGAAATACGGATGTATTTGCATTAGTCGGCCTTTTAATTTCTCCAAAGGCGTCGACGACTACGTAACTACGACTGACTGCTCTCTTTTGCTCTGCTGCCACTGCCACTGCGCCTCTCCACGTCGGATGGCTCTGATGGCCAAGTCCCAGAGGAGCTTCTCGCCTCCGTCTCCTACGCTACAAAAGCACGAGACGGCTAACAAATGCGCCTCTTTTTCTCTCTTCCCCTAGAGCTCTTGATTTAGATCTTTTTTGTTTCCGCTTTTTTTTCGTCGTCCTTTTTCGTGCCGCTGCGAGTGCAGGGGAAAGAGAGAATCGAGGAGGACGATTCTTAATGCCGTGTTTTACAAGCTGTCTCTCGCCATTACATCATCTCGTCGCAGTGTACATTTATATATTTTAGTCCCGACGCGTACGAGTATACGTATAGGCTAAAAAAATTGTTAAGGTGTACAGCATGACACGAGTAATTTGACTAACGCAATTTTTCCGCACCGATTTTGTCCACAGAAACTGCAGCCAACGGACCCGCCGATCTTCGAGGTGTCGCAGCTGCTGATCAACGAGACCGCCACGCAGTTGGTGCTCTGGGGCGAGCTCGGCATCGTCGTCGTCGAACTGCCCAAGCGCTGGGGCAAGGACGCCTCCTTCCAAGGCGGCAAATCGGTCGTCTCTTGCCTGTGAGTATATGATAATACACATCTGCGTAACACGAGATTATCGATGCCTTTTATCTTTGTAATGTACATGCGACTTTGTATGTGCACATAATGCGTAACACGGAGTCGAGGAAGAAAGAAAGGATCTCCGCAAGCGTATCACGTGCGCGACGCCGTGACAAACGAGCTGTAACAGCGGCAGTGGTGTCGCCCCTGCCATAACAAAAGGCACACACATTTATGAGCTAAAGAGGTATAAAGGAGGCGCGCCTCATCCTCCTCCCCCGCCTGGCCGCCCGCGATTAATAAGCATATTTAACAAAGTTTGCGCGAGGCCCCAGCGACTTTTTGCCCAGCTCTCTTCTTCGAGTTTTGCTCTAGCTCGGATTTATATAGCAGCAGCAGCCGCGAAGTAAAGTCGGAGATATAAGTATACCTCCTCCTCCCCCATATACACAGTTTCTCTTTTGGTAGGTGCAAGCTCGGCGCACAACTTGGCCATTACGACGAATCTCCGGGATTTAGGATCCAACTCGAACGTGTATATTTTGCAACTCCTTGATTATATCGCGCGCACCATGGCTCGAGAGCAATGTAGCTATAACAGTTATAATATACCTAGTCGCGGCGCTAAGACTGTGTGTGTGCCACTTTCGCGCGGCTGCTACTGCTACTGCTTCTGCTGTTCAGTCGCGCGCCTAGCCTCACAAAGCGCAGCAAACTTTGCTCCAAATTTCATCGCTCGGCTCTCGTATGCGGAATCGCTCGATGGGATGTGCGCTCGCCGCGCTAATATATGTGAACAAGGCGGCGAAATTTTTGCGCGAGCGAGAGAATTTGAGATAAAAAGAGCAAATTATGAAGAGGGCTCGGAGCTCCGAGCTAGCTCCCCCACTCCATATACGCGTTATAATACAGTCGACGTTATGCGGATTAAGCAAATGGCGGCAATAGTGGTGATTATTCGGATTATGATATCAGTGCGCTAACTGCCGCCCCCATCCCCATCCCCGACCAAACGTTGGAGCAAGAGAGGACTATACTTTCGCGCGAGAACGTGGATTAAAACTATTAGGCACTTTTGGGCGTACAGTAGCAGCGAGCTGAGAGAAGCAACTCTTATTTCTCCATCTTTCGCGCGCTGATCTTCGTCGCCACACCGCCGAGCAAGAGCTTTTTCTCTTCATTTTCGTCTTGAAAACATGTGGGGGGGATCTTTTAGGGCAGTTTTTCTCTCGTTCTCTCTCGACCGAATCGAAAGTGCAGCGCCGCTCGTGAAATGATAACCACCACCCCCAGCACGAAGGAAAAAGCTCGCAGCGGAATACGACTGCTCGAGCTCTTCGGTATTTTCAGGCGCGAGTAGCATAAAGCTCTCGAAGATAGAGCAGGGAAAAGGCCGCGTGCAGCGTATACGATGGCAAATGCGCTCGAGACGCGAAGAGAGGATTTAGTCTTTCTCTGTCTCTCTGTTGTCACTGCTACTATACTACTGCTGCTAATTATTGTTTTAAGGATTACCTTTATGTGTTTATTATGCCGCAGGATTTTCGCTCACTTCGGCGCGCTCTTAATGTTCGGCACGGACGGAATTTCTTGCGCCTATGCAGCCACTATATTATTATTCATCGTAGACATAGCCACTTAACAACTTATGTACTATATATCTATGAATAATACCCATTTGCGCATAGCGACGCGGGTACATAAATACTTTCTCGACTTACCCCCATGTTTGCGCGTTGTTGTTTGAATTTTTCGATTGCATAAATCCAGGGAGGTGCGCGCAAAAAAAAAATCGAGTCTCCGCGTGGGTAATTTTTTACATCGTGCCCTCGCACGCATGAAATACAGAAGAAAACAAAAATTACTCATCGCAAAAATGCAGTACAGTAGGTTCGTGGCGTGCGTTAGTCTTTCGAGTCGCGGCTCGTTCGAGATAAAAACGAAACGCAAAAAATGATCTACGTACAAATTAATGCCCATATAAACGCCGCACTCGCCGCGCACAAAGTTCCAAGCAATTAATTGTATGTATGCATATGTATTTTTTCCGCGCATCTCTCTCTTGCTCTCTTTTTTCGGAGGCTATCGGCGCTGCGCCTAGGCGTTCACGAGTGCGCGAATGCGTGGACGGACGCCGCATCGACGAGCACGAGCAGTATATTACCGCGGGGCGTGTAGGGGCCACTAGATCGCGGCCTGCGTGTACTCGAACAAAAAAATGAACGACGAAAAAGTGATTTAACCGTAATGGTTTTACGTATGTAATCCTTTATATATATATATACGGTGGCGACGGACTGGTCGGAGGGGCCAACTCGATAAAAGGGTACAAGCGCGGCTAATCTCGTAGCCAGGGAACACGCGGACCTCGTTTATAATGTACGTTTAATTCCGATGCAGCTAAAACAGTCGGGCAGGGCCTACACATAATGTGTATGAACGACCTTTTTTTAAACGTACTCACCCGATTTATGAAAGCAGTGGCATCGAGTTGGTTCGACTCGATTTTTCAAGCCATGCTTCAACTTTGCTGTTTCAAGCGCAAGACGCGATACTATATACGAAAGTTTCGTCTTTGGTAATGCTCGCAAGTAAATACAGGCGGCGTGGGCATTGTAATAATGGATACACGTGTATCGCCGGAACACTATGACGACGGCGACGACAACGGCTTCTGAGCAAAGGCGCGTCAGCAAGAATTAACGGGCTTAAGTTGGAAATATATACTTGTAGCGTCTCGAGCGTGGCTGCGAGAAAGAGACGCGCAAGAGCTTGCGAGCTTGCAAGTAGCAGCACGCGCGGGTACGACTCTCTTTCTCTCCTCCGGGCCAAGATGAATTATAACGCAGCGAAGAGAGAGAGAGAGAAAACTCGAATGGGAAGAGGTGCCGGTGCGTAACATCCCGATTTTATGGGACTACGCCTAGGCGTGCGCCTACTCAGCTTTTGATCCCCGTGTGCGTAGCTGAGCTCTGTACTGCACGTGTATTATATTATATACGTCTTTCTCTTTCTCTCGCGCGCACGAAGATGACTTGAATTAGTCGAGTCGCGGGGCCACGAGAGCGTCAGGTGCGCCGTGAGAACTCGTGCTCGAGAAGAAGGCGAAAAAAGCTCTGTACGACTGCTGCGGATCTTATGCTTTATATACACGGTCCATTTAGTCCAGCCGCCACTATATATTTCTAATTACTTTTGCGAGCTTGCGGCGCGCGCCGTTAATGTAGCTGCGAGCCTCGAGCCTCGAGCGTCTCGGCCCGCGCGTTATCGGCTCGGTCGCATCGCTTATAAGAATCTTGCAAAGATCTTTCCGCGTGCTGAGAGTAAGACCGAAAAAGTTCGCGAGCGTCACAAATTAAAAGAAAACCGGGGTGTAGGGTGAGCGAGCGAGAGAGGAAAAAACTCTCTCGTAGTCGTAGTCGTCGTCATCGAATGGCAAAGTAAAGCTCGAGAGTTTCGAGCAAGCCTCGAGCGTGTCCACGCGTACATAAAAAGAACTTCCGAGTGGGGTCAAGCTCTCTTTCTCTCTCTCACATACTCACACATACACATATACACAGACTCGAACACGGAGGCAGTAGCAACCTCGTAATTTACTTTTATCGAATCACTGTCCTCCTATTTCATTTCTTTGCCTGCGCTTTGCTTCCTCCTGACCTCGGCTCGGCCTGCTGTTTTTTTTTCTTTACTTTTCTGTGAGCTTTTTCACTCGTCCCGAAACTCCACGATTATACTTTGACCCGGCCCGATGAATTATCATTAGTTTGAACCGATAAGAAACGATGATTTATTTGCCTCTCGCTCTCTGCTGCTCCGCGTGCTCGCTTCAATGATTCTGCGCGTTTTAAAATTTTTGAATGATTACGCTCTAGCTGCGTCGTGCTCGTCGCAAATTATAACAAAAAAATAAACACCAAGAATCTATTAACTTCAAAGTTCAAACGTAAGGGGGAGAGAGAAAGAAAAGGGTCGCTTTGGAGATGGGTAAGGACACGGTCGGCTCGTCGCTCGCGCACACGCATACGTACCGCCAGGAGAGCAAGAGGCGGGGAAAAAAGTCATGCAAGAAATAAAAGAGTTTGGCTCGAAAATGACCGGTAGGAAAGGAAGACAAGACAAAAGAGGCGAGTACATATCTACACACAGGCGAATTCTTTTGACCTTTTTGCGAGTACTCTTGCACGAGGTTTTATACGCAGGGCGTTGTTATACACACACATACACATAGACATTTTCACGCAGAGACACAGAACCCAGGGAGAAAGAGCTCTTGCAAGCTCTAGGTTAATATATATTTGCTTGGGCTTGGAAAATTATTTTTAATTTTCGCAGTTAGCGTTATAGAGAGAGTCGCGCGTTTAAGAATTTCTTAATTAGATCGGAGCTTATTCCCTTTTCTCTGCTCGCTCGCTCGCTCTCTTGGCTTTTGTCTAATATGCGGGCCTTTGACGGTTTTTAAGGCTAGCGGCGGACGTTCGTTCGCTCGCTCGCTAGTTCGTTCGTTCGTTCGTTCGTTCGCGCAAGAGCTCGAGCGAGCCTCTGGGCTAGAAAACGACGGAAATCGCATTCTTCGCTTCGCGAGTATGTACACCTCTCCTCTGCGTTGTACCTCGCTGCGTACCCAAAATACACGTGTGTGCGGCGGCGGCGGTGGCAGCTCTACGTGGTAGTATTAAATAATTCCGCGAGGATGCCCGTAGCTTTTTAAGGCAGCTACTGCAGCGAGGCGCGTTGATGATGAAAGGCAAAAAGTTGCCTTTGTCCAATTTATTCCATTGCACACACGTACACACACTCACGAGTCAGTGAAGGTCTGGATGGGAAATTACGTCTCGGACAGTAGCAGCAGCAGCAGCAGCAGCAGATACGAGAAGAGGAACCCGGCCAAATGTTATTGTACATATTTTCCACAAGGCACGCTGTAAGTGCGTGTATGTGTGCGCACGTGCATGCGGCTATGCATAAGTTCGTCATCGCGAGGCGTCCCGCATTATTATTTCAAAGTTAGCCCCCAGCTTGAAAACTCGTTGGTGGTATTTTCAAATTCAACTTTGCAACAACGTGTTGTGTGTTACGCCAGAGCTCAGAGAGAGAGAGAGAGAGAGAGGCACGACGCCGTCATCATCATCAGTGGTGGATGGCGGCGGTAGCGATAATCGCGTCCGATTCGTTTGGCAACGCAAGGCCAGGGCTGCTGCTCGTTTGGTCGCTTTGATGAAACTCTCTCTCTCTCTTTCTCCCTTGCCGTATGGAGAAAGGTAGAAAATTTTCCACCGGAGCCCACACGCGCGCTCACACACGTGAGTAACGCGTATGCCGAGGGTGATAATAAATTTTGATCAAATGCTCTATCTTTCTCTATCTTTCTCTCTCTTTCTCTCTCTCTCTCTCTCTCTCTCTCCTCGACCCGAAGTGAAGAAAAATTTGCAAAGGGAGAGAGGCGAGTTGGTTGCAGTAGGAGAAAAGTCAGCAAATAAATCCTCCTCGCATGTATAGCGTATACATAGCATAGAGAACACGAGGGTATACGCGTAGTACTGGGGGAAGGGGTGGCCACACTAGTAGCCGTTAGCAGCAGCAGCAGCAGCAGCGGAGTTTCGTCGGCTAGAGGCCGTGCGCTCGAGCGTGCGCGTGCATACATTTTTATCAATTATTAAGAATATACTCGCGGTTATGTATACTGGCCTTTTCAGCCTTCGTGTATGTATGCGTCTGGACACACACCGAGTTTTCCTTCTTTTTTTCCTTTTTTTTTTCGTTCCTTTTGCTCAGATACGGTCTGCTCTTTTGTTCATTTGTCAGCGCGCGGTGGTCGCGCCTGGTATATGTGTGTGTAGGTATAGGTGTATGCCCTGCGTGTAACGCAACTATAAAACGACACGTATTGCTGCATCCCTTTTTGCACACCCGACCCTCAACGCGACGAAGCACATTAATAATGGCTCGTGTACACGTCGTATACACGGGATCGCCAGCTAATGGTGAATTATTGATCGAATCGACGAATTTTTAACGATAAATCTTGCAATTTTTGTCTTGTTAATGACTGCACATTATTCAATGACCAATGCAATTCAATGACCGATAACTTGATTTCTAAGATAAATTTTTGTTCTGTTACGCCCAACAGGAGTTACAATCTCGACGGATGCACGTCACAGCTGTCAACGTCGGAGGTGCGCAAAGTACGATGGCATCCAGGCTCGACCAGCGACTCTCATCTCGTCGTATTGACGTCGGACAACATATTCCTGTAAGCGACATATTCCCGTTTTGTTTTCCCCGAGTTTATTCAACTCTCAAATCAATTACACTTATTTCCCACTGTGTAACAGGCTATACGAATGCGAACTCGGCGGCACGGGTCCGAAGCTGGTGCGCACCTGGAAGGTCGGCCCGAGTATGCACTCGCCCGCCTCGAAAGTGCCGAGCTTCGCCGCTCTCGGCGACACAGCCGTGGACTTTGACTTTGCCACGCCGTCGCTGCGCCAGGACGGGGGCAGCAACGCGTCGGTCGTCAACATCGACAAGGCCAACTGGAAGCAGATCGAGTGGCCGATCCTCGTGCTGCGCGGCAGCGGCGACGTGCTGATCGTGCGTGGAAACGTCCTGCTCAAGTGAGTCTCCCAACTATACTAATACTCGAGAATATTTATTGTATTACATCGATGTTGCTAAATTACAACTTCACTTTATTCGTTACATTACGCGACAGTCAAAACAAGCCAGTGGTCTTCGGCAGCCTGTCGATGTATCCACCGGCGGTCGACAATTACGGCATCGACTCGTGCTCGATCATGTGTCTGCAAACCACCCCGCCGATCGTCGCCATAGCCTCGTGCAGCGGCAAAATCTACCACGCCATCATGCTGGACGAGCGCATCAACGAGGAGGACGACGCCGCGATCGTGGTGACGGGTCGCGACGGCGGCGGCGACGACGGCGTCGACCACGAGACGACGGGCAACAAATTGCGCACCTGGTCGCAGTACGGCTCGACCTACAGCCTGCACACGCCCGACGAGGCCCTCTACGTGTACGAGTGCATCGAGATGGAGCTCGGGCTCTGCTACTCGGCCGACGACGCCAGCCTCTACAGCTGCCAGATCAATCTGCACGCCGACCGGGAGCGTCGCAATCGCTACTTCTGCTCGCACAACGCGGGCATGCACCTCGTCGAGGTGCCCATGGTCGACCAGCTGGACGAGTACGTGGCGGCGGCCAACGACCTCAACGCCGAGCTCCACCTGCCGAATCTGCAGCGCGCCTCGAGCTCCCAGTACCTGCTCAGCACCCGCACCAAGTACACGAGCAGCGACGAGGCCACGCCCGTCCTCGGCTTCGGCCTGCTGCAGGAGCCCTGCATGCTGCTCGCCCTGCTGCACACGGGCGTGGTCGTCGACATCTCCGTCGTCGACTCGTTCTACATACCCAGGGTGGAGAGCAGCGCGCCCACCGTCAGCCCGAGCAAGCGAGTCACCAAGGAGCCCTTCGACGTCTACGTCAAGAGGATCCTCAAGCACGAGACTTCGCAGCCCATCACCATGATCGGTATCAGGCAGAATCTCACCATTCCCGAGTGCTTTGACGTGAGTGCTTTTCATCTGCTTTTCGTTCTTTCTATTAATCGATAATTGTATTCATTTTTTTTCTCTCCGTCTACAGTTGCTTTATCGAGCGACGACGGTATTCCGTAAGCAGCACTTCGCACATCACGACAGAGTTCGCGAGGAGTTTAACAAAAAATTGAGGACATTGAAGGCCTTGAAAAATCATCAGATCGTCGAGCTCGAGAGCTTGGCCGAGATGAAGAAGTATTTGCAAGAGAAAGCCGAGAACCTAGCCGAGCGTTACGAGGACGTCAAGGATAAGCAGGAGGAGCTGGCTCGCAGGTACAGTATATAACAGTCAACTTCATCAATTTGTTAACGCCTATTATTAATACGCAACGTACGTTGTTTTATTGAATCAGAGCCGAACAAGTCCTGAGACTCGTCCATCTGAAGGAGCCGACGATGAGCCCGGTCGAGCGAGCCGAGTGCGAGGAAATCAAAAAGATGTCCAAAGACGTCAAGGACTTGGGAGTGCGCCTCGAGCAGTTGAAAAAGAAGAAGGCCGTGAACCAGAATCTCATCAGTGATACGGGAAAACGCATGTGCAAGACGGAAATCGTTTTGAAACCGACCCAAGTCGAGACTGTCAAATCCAATCTCACTCAAATGTAAGCAGTCTCACTCAAAAGCAATTCTTGAAGTGCTTCTATGATTTTCGTTTCGTTTTTGTTTTTCATCATCAATTTTTTAATTAATTATTTTTCGTTTCAGGGGAAAGGATATAGCTGAATTGATAGCCCGAGCTAAAACGCTGCAGGAACAATTGAATGTATAAAATAGTTTACTAAAGTAACGATTTAAAAAAAAAAACTTTAAATTTATCTGTGTTTATAAATATTACTACTACTATTATTATTATGTATTTTTATGTATTTTAAGAATAAATCTGACAATTTTCATATTTTGAATGTCGATGTATTATCATTTTAAATTATTTACCAATTCTTACGTTCCAGATCTATGATCGGAAAAACTGAATCTTTTAACAATAGGTAGCAGCACTTCCCAGCAAGTAGTCGGCATCTCGCGGATACTTTCGTAAAATTCAACGCAATCGATTTTATATACAGCACTAGGTTCGTTGACCTGACGAGTAACTCCGAAAATCCACCTTACCGTCCTTACCCATGTTCCCATGTAGAAAGATCTGATTCAAGTCATTTCCAGAAGATGGCTCTGTTCTTCACAACTTGAATTTGCCTCCTGTGTTTACAGTATTTCAACTGTCTAAATGCCTAGACAAGTTTTCTTCGTAAGCAATTAGAAGATTCAGTTTGACATCGATGAAATGGAAGTGTTAGAACTGAAAAATATCAAAATTGTTCCGGATATCATTCACCCGTACACTGAAAAAATAAAATCCGAATCAACGCCACTCGTTATTGATAATGGTGAACTATAACCTTAACTTTATAATTATAAAAAGTCAGAATTTTAATCGTCATTTTTATACGATTTAGGGGCATACAAGTGTCGAGTCGGCTGGGCAACAGAAAAAGAGCCGCAGTTGGTATTTAGAAATTTGATAGCCAAACCCCGTAAAGAAAGGGGTAAAAAGGATGGAGAAATCCTTGTTGGCAATGACATTACCAATATTGAAGCAATGCGATTTCAATTGAGAACTCAATTTGACAAAAATGTTGTCACTCACTATGAAGCACAGGAGCTCATCTTTGACTACACATTTACTCATATGGGTATTGACACGGAGGGCTGCGTCAATCATCCAATAATTCTAACTGAATGTCTTCTTAATTTAAACTACTGCAGAAATTGTTAGTAAAAAAATTAACACATTATTGTGTTTAATGATTGAATCATTGGAATAAGTTTTCTTTTGATTTCAGTAATGGCAGAACTATTGTTCGAATGCTATAACGTTCCATCGGTTGCATATGGGGTTGACTTTTTGTTTGCTTATCAACACAATAACTGCCCTCCAGATGGTCTAATTGTAAGCATAGGACATCAATGCACTCATATTGTGCCAATTTTAGATGGAAAGGCAGATATAGCTAATTCCAAGCGAATAAACCTCGGAGGCTTTCAAGTTACTTCATACATGCATAGATTATTACAATTAAAATATCCTGTTCATACAAACGCAATAACTTTGAGTCGCGCTGAGGTAAACCTAGTTTTCCATTCAACTTTTTTATTTAAGTTATAATATTTTACAACTTATCTAAACATAATCAGGAATTAATCCACGGTCATTCCATGTTTGCTGTAAACTATCAAGAAGATCTTCTCAAATGGGCTGATCCAATGTATTATGATAAAAATGTGTTGCGAGTGCAACTACCTTATGTAGCACCAGCAGCTACTACAGGGTTAACTGCTGAACAGCAAAAAGAAAGAAAGAAAGAACTGGCCAGAAGACTGATGGAAATAAATGCTAGAAAACGTGAAGAAAGGGTATGATTACATTACTTTTTTTGCATCATAAACAGTTTTACTAACATTAAACTCAAACTTTAGCTAGCAGAGGATGAAGATCAGCTAAATCAACTCTTAGCTATTCAAGATCTTCTAGAAGAAGGTGAACTAGAAGAATTTGAAGAAGCCTTAAAAGCACACTCATTGGCTACTGAAGCAGATCTGGTGAAAGGCATCAATCATCTTCAAGCTAAAATAGAAAGAACAAAGCAGAAGATAGTGGCAGCCAATACACAAGAAGATAATCTTAATTCGGAAGAGCAAAAGCCAAAAATAAAAGCAAACCTTCAACCTACAGATCAACAAGATTTTGAAGAATGGATATCTGGTATTAGGAAGAGAAGGTATACAAATTGATTCTAAGCTTTTCAAATTAGTTCAAACATTAATTTTATTATTATTATTTCCACAGACAAGATATAATCGATAAACGTGCAGCCAAAAAGCAACGACGCCAAGATATGGCAAAACGTAGAACTGCTGCTGCTCAAGAAAGAATGAGGATCATTAGTCACTTGGCCAAAAAGGATAAAAGAGAGGACGATTTTGGAATGCGAGACGAGGATTGGGATGTTTACAAAGCTATCAACAAAGAAGGTGGCGATTCCGATTCCGAATTAGAACAAGAGAGGCTAATGGAATTGGAAGAGGTTTTGCGACATCATGATCCAGAATTTGAGCACAACAGTACGACAAACGTGCCGGTGTTACCTGGCGAAACGCATCAGTTGCATGTTGGAGTCGAAAAAATCAGAGCTCCAGAGGTTCTGTTTCAGCCATCTACGATTGGTATTTTAGAAGCCGGAATAGCCGAGACAATTGATCGCATCTTAAAGAACTACACATTAGATCAGCAAAATCGACTAGTCAATAACGTATTTTTAACCGGTGGACCGACAAAACTACGAGGTTTTATTGATAGACTAAAGCGTGAACTTACAGAGATAAGACCGTTTCAATCGCAATTCCAAATCAACATTGCCAGAGATCCCGACTTGGATGCCTGGTACGGAGCTAGAGATCTAGGCCTGAACGGCAATTTACAGACTTATCTGGTCACTCGAAAGGATTATGAAGAAAAAGGAGGCGAGTACTTGAAGTACCATCCAGCAAGCAATACATATTACAAATCGCCGGATCCCGTGCCAACCCCGCAAGTAGCCACAGCCGTCGAGCAGCAGAACAACGAGGATAACCACGTTGACGTTGAAATGGTCTGAGGCGGTTCTGAGGAATCTGTAAATAATGTAAATTGCTCGTGGCTCGCTGTGTACATAAACGTGAAGGGTTTTGTAAATAAAAACAACAATTGGAATATTAGTCTATGGATATCTACTTTATTACACAAGTGTTGCGTCCGTTCGTGCACGACGGAACTTCCAACAAACTACATTGTAGTTTGTCTGCCGGCCTACAATATACATTTCCTTCGTTTGTTCGGCTTCACTTTTTTTTGTTTTATTTTGCTTTATTATATGATTACGCGCATTCATCTCGCTCTCTCTTTTTCGCAAGTAATCCAGAGACTATATTCGTATTTTAAGGATAACCATAATAATCATAATTAATTATAATTAATAATATAGTAATGCGCCCGTAGGGTTGCACTCGTGTATACCAAGGCTTTATTAGAAATTATGTCAGCGCCTCGACAGACAGATAGCTTTAGATTAATATTCTCGATGATAATTATGTAACAAGTGGCCTAAAACCTTTTGGTTCGCGTTATTGTTTTCTCTTACTTCTTTTTTTTTCTTTTCGTGTAAATATGAAAATGACTCCTCGCGACTACAATAGTGATATACAATGGAAATAGTCATTCCAAGTGTCTGACAAACAGCGACCTCAGCAATTATACAAGATCATTTTACCGACAATACAAAGAATTGTCACGCAGCTTATTAATCTAACATCACAATATAATTATACTGAAAAATATTATCATCGTTATTTATTAATTCCAGCGCTCACGAAATAACTAGCATCACGCAACGACATTATTTTGCTTTCTTTTATTTCTTTTTCATTTTTTTTTTTTTTTTCGACAGTCTTCTATACGTATTTTGAGGAACACAAATTCGATTGCACAGAGAACCTTTCCAGACGCCATTATGTCAAGATTTTATCATCAAGCTGGTCAATTCAATCGAGTATTTCCGCGACGCTTAACAATTAGAAAGTTAAACAAAATTATCCTCTTAGATTTGATGTACGGAGTACAATAAAATGCTCGTGCGTGGGTAAAAAAAATAACATAAATTGATTAGCAATTGAGTAGGAAAATGTATGAGTGTTAATTTTGAATTATATTATTATACACATTAACTTGCCATATATTATTTTGACTTTATATAAAAAGCACGCTAAGTACAAAAAATATAAAGTAAAAAACGATTTTTCACTGGACAAGAAGTCGGTGACAAGTGTGTAAGTGGATGTGTGAGTGTGTGTGTGTGTTTCTTATGAACTCGACGTGTTTTCACTGGTTTTACAGAAATTTGTTAAATAATAATATCGTTATCACAGTGTGAGGTCGCTGCTTCGCCAATCATCAATTGTTACGACATTCTCCTTCTTTTTTTTTCGTAAAAATTTGTTTCTTCTTCGTCAGACAAAAAAGTATTTTTCTTTTCGTTTTCTCTCCGCATTATCAATGAAATAAACAACAAACTTTCATATAGTCTCGTTCTCGTTTGAAGGTACGAAAACACGCTTCGATACAAGTTTTGATGCTAACTCTCTCGCATATTTTTATTTTTGTTTAATTCTCTTAAAAACACATTATACAGTACAGTACAGTATTATTACAATAGTTTGTGTTTTCGTGGGCAACACACACACACTTTTGAGTTTCAACCATCCTATTTCCTTTTTTTTTCCTCGCTTACTTGTTTGATAAAATTGCATTTTTTTTTATTTATAATATATAATAGCGTCGTCGAATATGCCTCACAGTCGAGACTCAATTATGCACAAGTCTCGGCTTGATTTTACAGTACATACTAATAATTGATTTATTTTGTTCTTCTCATTACTTTATTTATATTTCAATATTTATATAAATCTTTGCCACGCTAGCTTCTTCCATTCTTTTAGTGATAAAATGTGTGTGTGTGTGTATGTGTGTCCGTGCGGGGGTGGTGATTTTGACAACTAAAACATGATGAGGACCTACGTACGCTTTTCAATTAGTGTACTGTTTAAACTATGTGTTTTTTGCGTATTCGTACTTTTATTGATCATATCTTTTGTTTAATTTTGTTGTTTGTTGTTGCTACATCATCGATCAGCGTTTCGGGAACATTAAAACCCATAATACACATAACCATTTTCTATCGGCAATAAACTTCGAATCGTTGCATATCCCGTAATGAAAATCAAATGATCAGCAGCAGTTATGATTCTTACAAATCGGTATTATTATTTTTTTCAACTCAATAATTAGTAAAACATCGGTAAATATTTTATTCTCGTTTTTTTCATTTTGCCATTTAAAGACATAATCATAATGTTATAATAATGATAATAAAAGGTGCGGGGAGCTATTTTTGAAATATCTGCGTGTATATATATATATACTCTGTCCAGATGCGGGTAGGGGGTCAGTGACAGCTATATACAGTACATACTTGCCTTACGTAGTTGTACCATCGTCGTAAATTATAAATTTATATATACATACACACACGCGTGAATATATATATGTATACGTTTATATATCCTATGGTCTCATACACTTGCAATAATTTACCTTACTTTTTCCATGTTTCAATGTAACACATACGAATTATCGTTTACACATAAAATAGTAGCCTATGTAACATTCATTTATATTTATATAGCTTAATATATAAATATATATAAATATAAAAATGTATATATTCATATATATTCACATATATAAGTAGAAACTAGTAGTTAGGTAGTATTATTTTTCTGTTATATCTTCATAATTGCGTCTCTGTCTTTATTCGTTATACTTTTATTTGTCACTTCATTAACGTTTTAAAAGGATGTGTTTTGTCAGGATATGTCGGCGCGAAGACTATTTACGTGCAAATTGTCCTGGTTAAGCAGTTTTTCTCTTCATTCTTCAAAAGCTTTGAATTTCTTTCTTCTTTCGTTCTAAACTTTACATGAATAGCTATTTTTATAATTTTCCACAAGTATAATTTTTTTTGTTTTTTTTTTTTTGCTTTTTAGTTATAGAGACAAAACCCGCATTATCATCGTCATTATAATATCGTCCCGGTCGTAGCAATAGTAGTCGTCGTCATCGTCGTCGTATTAGTCGTTATTTTATTTTCGCATCGCTCATAGGATTTGTTACACAAAATTATATACGCTATTAAAAACTCATTTTTATTACAAAAGGTTTAAATTAATAATATAATTATAATGTTGCACATTTGTCGTTTTATTTTTTATTTTTGAGTAAACTTTATATTTCATACACAGTGTCGTCAAGATAGTGAGATATTTAATATCGATCATCTTTTGTGATTTCGGCACTCGCATCATCCACATACTATAAATATTTATACGTAACTACCACACCAACTTTCGATTTCTTCTTTATTCCTCGTCTCTATAGATAATATTTTTATATATATTCATTTATTTATATTCGTATCGTTACGATAGTTACAGTTAATATTAAACCTATTATTTTTTGTTCAGTATGAATATAATAATCGTTTTTCTCCTAGTTTTTTTTATTTATTACATATATTTTTATTAACCTTCTATGAAAAACTCGATCTACAAAAATGTCTATGATCTATACATATATTTATATATTATAATCATTTTTGTTATTTATAATGTATTTATAGTTTATAATCGCAGGCCTCTAAGACTCGCGGATATATAGCACGTTAAAACCTCTATATAAAAATAAGAGCTATCTACTGCTAGTTTATGTACGTATGTTTATATGTATATGTAAGATGTTCTGTACCATATATATTTATATATACGTATTTAACGTATCTCGCAAAGGGGGTAGGCAAAAGTGGAGAAGTCAAGAAGTTGCGATCTCGCACGAGCACGAGTGTGAGTGTGCCGGGAGCTACTCTGCGTTTCGTCTATATATATAATTTTGCGCGCGTGCAGACTGCTGGGTGTTGGATCTTTTTTTTCTGCTTATCCTTCTCTTTTTTCCTTTCTTTTTTTAACTCGCGCGATGACGATTTCCTCTCGTGGTGGTGTGCTTTCGAGCGGTTGCAGTTTTGCGAAGCTATACTCGTCGCCGTCGTCGACGCAGCATTAGTTAGTAGTTGTAGACTACCAAACGTGCGACTCTCGGCTCTTGCTCTCTCTCTCTCTTTCTCTTTCTCTGTGCGTTTCCCGCCCCGTATTTTTAGACCGTAGGCAGCTGCATTCGATCACGGATGTTTATGGGCGCTATTCACTCTCTCGTGCTCGTAGCCAACAGCAGTCCGCGAAACTGCTGCCGGGGAACCCGAGAGCGAGAAGGAGCGAGGCGAAACGCGTGCGGCAAAGCTCGACAAAATTCGAAAAATATACCCTACGCTGACTTTAGTTTTTTTTTTATCTTTCTTTTTTCTCTACATTGTACAAGAATACGCGAGACGAGGACGAAAAGGCCCGAGGTTTGTAATCGAAATAGAAGAAGAGAAAGAGAAGTTTAGTGCTGCTAAAAAGTTCATGTTAAGGCACTAAGTACCAAGGCTTTGGTTCAATTATGAAAAATCCTTTTCTTTTGTCTTCGGAGACGAGTGTCTCGCAAGCGCACGCGTACGATGTATTTATACTACATTATGGGGACAAAAATGCATCGAGTGGAAAAAGAGCCCGACTGAGAGAAAGAAAGAGCGAGAGAGAGATGAACAATCGAACGTACCGATTATCGCACCAAGTTCTTTGCGATTCCATCGGGCCCGAAGATTTTTTGTTTCGTTCTCGAAAAAGCCTCGCATAGCCGCTGCTGCATCTGTGCAAACTTGCATGCTGTGTTTTTTTTTCTTTATGACTCTCAAAGCAGATGCACTGCGCTCGTACTGGAAGTTTATGCCTCGAAGAGCTGCTCCATATATACTCGGGGACTATATTTATAAACGCGACAAAGACACGAGCGTGAGATTCGTAAGGAAGCGACTTTTTTTCTTTCAATTTTTTTATTAGCTTAGTGATAAAACCAGTCAGTCTATCGTCTTCGTCGACCCATTACGTGATTCGCGACTGCAGAGACTTCATCCACCAACGCCTACTTTGCACACGACAAATAATAAAGAATTTTGTGTTAATTTTGCGTTGATATATAAAAATATATTTATGCCAGAGTTTCTTTTTTTTTCAACTATCGACTCTGTTCGTGAAAAAACATATGTTTATGATTGATGGGAGAATGATTGGGTGTATGTGTGTTATAGGTGTGCGAATGTGTAAGTGATTGTATTGCAACAGTTGGTACAGTATACGCATAGCGAAGTAACTAAATATTTAGAGCAATAAAGAGCGAGAGAGAGAGAGAGAAAGATAGAAAAAAGTAAAATAAAACGAACGTAACGCGCAGTGTATATAACCGCGCCCTGCGACAACTCTCTATTGTTTCCTCTCAGTCTCTCTTCTCGTTATTATATATAGCTCGTTTATTATACATAATTATGATTAAAAATTACAGTCCTTTGCGGTGTGTGTACGCACTTTCTCTTACGTTATTAATAATCTTTTTTTTTCAGTTATTAGTTATTACCAAGCATCGTCTATACGTTATACGAAATGAAAACAAGTATTATATATAAGTACGCCTACGCACGCGCGAGCTCGAGTTTGTGAGTGCGTGTGTGTATGTGTGTGAGCTTGTGTGTGTCGATGAAGTGAGCGTGTGTGTCTGTGTTAACGTGTAGCACTCCTTATTGGAAACAAAAAAAATTCAACTTTCTTATGAATAACAGCGACTATACGACTTTTTCTATATACGATTGCATCTCGTCCGAAAAGTCAAAGTGATAATGAATAACTGCACATTCGTAGGATCCCCGAACCAGCATCGTGCTAAAAAAAGTCCCTTATTTTTTATACGAAACGTCGCGGATGAGCGAAAATAATTTCGAGCGAGCGAATAATCGACGAGACGAAAAATTCTGGAGTAAGAATTTGAAGTAAAAAGGTGGCGGTGGTGGTGGTGTGGCGTCGGGCTGCGAAATCCGGTTAATAAATCGCGACGATGATTACGCCGCGCGGCTTATGGCCAAAGTTGCACGCGCGTTCGCATATATATACACACAACACATGTATTGCAACATATATATTGGGTGTACGAGATATATATATACGAGTGTGCGGCATGTATGCCGGCGAGTCGAAGGCGTGCGCGAGTTTCACTGCACACACGATGTACACGTATATATGCGTACAAGCTCGATTCTCTCCTCTCTCCATATATATATGGCATGTAAACGTGAATGTACGTAATATATATATGCCAATTCTCTCTGTGTATGATACACGCGCCGATGATGTTTACGACGACAAAAACAATCGAATTTTGCTACGCGCCGCTTATTATTTAATAGCCACAAGCAGAGATCTATATAAGCGCAACGATCATTGTCCAACGAAATGGCGAAAATAATGCGGCGCGCAGAATGTGTATAGCGGAGGAACGAAAAAAAGTGCAAGTCTCGGCCTCGATCGCCTCCGGAAACGCGATAAATATGTGCATATCGAATAGGATCCAACACTCGAACGATATAGCCTCTCTTCTTCTTTTTCCCCCGCACTCGCGCGCAAGAACGCGTAATTTCACCGCAGCTCGTTCTACTGGTTAACATCTGCAAGCTTAACTCTCCTCTTTTTTTTTTTCGAGTCTTTTTATTTTCTCTGCCGCTTTTTTTTTGTTCATGTTGCACGATTACCCACCGCGTCGTTGTTGACCTTACTCACTATTACCGAGTTCCCACTATTAAAGCTTGAGCGCGCATTTTCTTTTTCCTATACAATCGAAATTAAAAACCAATGCAATTGAAAAAAATTATTACAGACGATTAATTACTATCTATATCACAGATCCAAGTGACTAAAACTCCTTTAAAAATATAAATACAAGTGTTTTTTTTTGTTTTTTTTTTCTTTTAATGTGATTGTTGCCTCGTGTCCATGTGTGTGTATATGAATGAGAGATTATGAGTGAGTGTGTGATGAGTGTGACTTGAGCGAGGGTGGGCAGAATTTTTACATTTTGATAACGCGAAGTTTTCGAGTTGCATTTGACAAAACGAACATTTTTATTGAGTATGAGTGATGATGATGATGATCTGTCTTTTTTTGTTTGTATGTATCATTAAAAAGGCTAGTATACCATTTTGAAATGAAAGCTTGTTTTATTTTTTTATTATTTTTGACGACACTGGACTCTGCAGGGAGCTAATACACTAGTACAAAATTTACTGTTCCATGTTTACAACAGTCTGAAGGTGTTATCGTTATATCTTTCTTTTTTAAGCTAGCATATGTCTTTGTTTCTTACCAGCTAAAATGATCAAGAGTCTTTGATTCTCGACACAAAAAAAAAACTGATCGTAATTAGAAGTACTTTAAAGCAAAAAAAACCATAAGTCATTATATGTCAACGTTACAATATATAAACAATTAATAATGTATCATACAATATTATATCCTAAAGCTACCTTTAATCCGAGGTTCTGAATTAAAAATCGAATCAACAAAATTACACGTTAATGAACAGAATAATGTATTCATTTTAACATATATAGTTTTAGATTTACACATACATACGCGACAAACACAAGTTGTCTGTCAACGACTGTCGATATTGATCGTTCGTGTCAGTGATAGCTGGTCGAAAATAATGAAAATCGACTAAACGCATTTTAAGAAGCGAAAAGCAGCGAAACAAACTACTGATCGTACTCGATGGGCGCAAAAAATTGCGTCCTGCGTGCAGACTATAATGAACGAGAAATCGGTCAAAATAAACAGGATTATTCAGATATAATATATAGGATGAATGACGATCGTATATAAACGATATATATATTAATCAACGAAAGCTGCGACGCTTAAGTTGAGCTAGTTGACGAGCTCTCCACGCGAAGTAAGACCCGCTAGCTCGAGGCTTGGTCTTGCTTGCGAATTCGAGACTTTGCGAGCTGCGAGTAAGCGTGTGTCGGTCCATCGGTTATCGCGCCTCTAATCGGGCGATCGGAACTAAGTGACTCACGTGTTGCTGCGTTGCACGTACTCGCTGTAGGTGAGCGCCGCAGCCGCGGGCCCGGCAGCGCCCGAGTACTGCGCGTATAGATAGAGCGCAGGGTGCAAGTGGTGCGCCGGTGGCGGTGCCAAGTGGTGCTGCTGATCGTGCGTCGTCGGCGGCGGCGGTGGCGGTGGTGGCTGCTGATGGTGATGATGATAGGCCTGCGGCGGACTCGGCGGCCTAAACTGCTGCTGCTGCTGCTGCTGCTGTTGCTGGGCCGTCGGCGAAGAGCTGGCTGGGGCGGGTGGCTGCGGCTGATGGCACTAGTTGGTGCTCTGCGGGTGCAGCAGCGGTAGCGGCAGCTGCAAGCTGTTCTGCTTCGCGGCGATACTCGCGGCTATCTCGGCGGCGATGGCCGGGTTGCCTTTGCCCGCCGCGGCCTGGGCCAGGCCGTCGAGCGACGAGGGCCCGTCGCTGTAGCGCAGGTCGCAGACCGGACTCTCGAAGCCCGTGGCCCCGGGCGTACCCGCACCCGAGCTCTGCGGCGTGCCCGGCTCGTGGCTGGTGTTGGCGCTGCCCGCCCCGGAGTTGGCGCCGCCCCGATGCACGCGGTTTTGGTGCCGAATGAGATAGGAGTCGCGCACGAAGGTGCGGCCGCAGATGTTGCACTCGTAGGTCGTGCTGGCCGTGTGAGTGCGAATGTGGACGGCGAACTGGCTCTTGGATGTGAAGGTGAGGCTGCAGCGCTCGCAGACGAGCGGCTTCTCGGCCACGTGGGACCAGCGATGGGCCGTGACGTAGCTCTTGACGGCGAAGCGCTTGTTGCAGATGTCGCAGGAGTAGGGCCGCTCGCCCGTGTGGACGCGCTTGTGCGTGTTGAGGCTGCTCTTCTGGGTGAATCGCTTGAGGCAGAGCTCGCACTGGAAGGGCCGCTCGCCCGTGTGCGTGCGCATGTGCACCTCGAGGTAGGGCTTCCGGCAGAAGCTCGCCTCGCACACGGTGCAGTGGTAGGGCTTGTGTCCCGAGTGTAGCTTCATGTGGACGTAGTAGCTGCTCGCGGAGCTGAGTACCTTGCCGCAGACCTTGCAGGGCTGCGGTTTCGAGCGACTGCCCTCTTTGATGGGCTGGCCGTCGACCGTGGAGTGACGACCCGGCGAGTCCTCGTGGTGTATGATGGGGCTGTGACTCGCCTGCTGCAGGACGGCCAGCTGCTCCGGCTCTTGGTCCGGATGGTGGGGCAGCTGCTGATGGTGCACCTGACGCGCGTGCGGGGCTTGCAGCTGCTGCACGTGGCTGTCTTGCTGGGACAGTTCCTCGCGGTCGTCTGAAAGATTTACAATAGAGCTTGATCCGTCGCTGCGACTCGATGCCACTGAATAAAAGCCCATAGGCTCACTCTTGATTTGCTGTTCGAACATCGAGGCCATCACATTGGCCGCCGAAGTGTGGTGGTGCTGCTGCTGCTGGCTGTGGTGATGATGCTGCTGCGCGTTCTGCGGAGGGGGCGCCGCAGGAGGGGCTAGCGTAGCCGCTGCGGCTGCCGAGGACGAGGCTGCTGGAGGCGGTGGCGGCGCTGGAGGATGCTGATGCAGCGTCTGCTGCTGGTGTGGGAGCAGAGTCAGGTTGCGCTTGACAAACTGCTCATATCCTGCGTACCAATCCACCTGCAAAACGCAACAGAGAGACCCAGTGTGAATGTGAGCGCTCGGATGCGGGCTCCTGTGCAATTAGCTTCTATTGCGTGCGTTTCTATGCGTATGTTCGATCGTGCGCTCGAGCCCGATGAATTACTGTGTTGTATTTCTACCATTGAACTCCGAAGCTTTATCTACAGCCATCCGTGGAGGAGTGCAGTCATCGGCCAGCGAGCAAACATCATCGGAGTCATCGTTATCGTCGTGGTAGTTTAGCATCAACGTCAACAACATCAACATCAACATCAACAACAACAACAACAACAACAACAACAACAACAACAACAACAGCAACAGCAACAACAGCAATAGCAACAGCAGCGACGGACAACAGCATATTGTCATTAGCTAGTGCAAGAAAAGCTCAGCGCCGAATGCACATGGCAATATCGTGAGCAAGCGTGGTCTGTGCATGCTGTATGTATAAGGTACAACATACCGCCGCGCGCGCCGCGCCGCTCTATTATATATATACAAACGCTGCTCCTATATATGCTACACATATATACAATATATAAGTATACATATATAGGCGTCGCGTGTATATATATAAATGCACATATATATAATACATATGTATATATTGTATGTACACAATATATAGAAAGGCGAGAAAGCGAGTGGAGGAGGGAAAAGCGCGCCAAGCCAACGTGAGCGTGCGCCTAAGGTTAGAGATGCAACCGTGCGCTGTACCGAGCGCATTTATTTTTGACGATTGACAGCGGACAGAGCTGCTGCTACTCGTCTCTCTCTCTCTCTCTCTCTCTCTCGGGCTGAGAACTCGGCACGCGCGCGCCGGAGACGACCGCAGCTCGGAGGCCCGTGTGTGCTCGTGCTTCGCCCCGCTTTGCACACTCTCTCTCGCACACGATCAGCTGATTGCATAATAACTGCGGATCGGCGTCAGGGCGCAGTGCAGCAGCGGCAGAGGGGCCTCGTGCGCGCGCGACCGCATCGTCTCCGAGGAGCCATGCCGTTTAGCCGGAGAGACAAATAGAAACGGATCGATTCGACAGTAAAGCACACTCCGCGACTCGCTTTCTCGACGACGACAAATACGACGGTGACGGCGCTGATGATTGATTACGAAGATGTCATCGACCAAGACGTCAAAGTGCAGTCTCGGCCGCAAGCACAGCGCGGATCGCCGTCATCGCCGTAATCGTCGTGGTGTTTTCGTGCACTATTCTGAACTAGTTTACACATAGAGAAGAAGTAAAGACGTTTGGCAAGCTTCGTCCAGAAACTTACCTTTGCTAATGTGATGGTCCGGGCTCGAGTTGAAGACGGAGGCGCCTCATAGGAAAGGCGAGGGCTGGGCTCGGCTGTCAACGATTCAAGGTGCAGCTCCTCTGTCTCCGTTTGACACACACGCACTGTCTCTCGGTCACTCTCGGTCTATCTTGGGGGGCGCGAAAAAGGTTAACTTGTTTCTTCTTGTCACAAGTCTTCTCTCTTGGAATCGTCTCCTCGCTCTTTCTTGTCGCTTTCTTGTCGCTTTCTTCTTCTCACTGGTTCGCGGAAGATGAACGATGTATCCGATGTATCGAAATGCTAGTAGTTATAGTCGACGACGCGTGTCTCGGTCACTGAAGCACATATAGAGATATATCGTCGAGTCGAAGTTGAGTCGAGTCGAGTCGAGTCGAGTTGTTCAGGGCAGGCGCTCAGGTAGAGCGGGCGGCGGCGGTTGACGACCGCGGCGGCGTCTGCGGCGGGAGGACGAGCGGTATAGGCAGCAGCGACGTGGAGCAGGGGGGCATGTCGTCGGAGGAACGGCGGCAGCCACAAGCGCACATATACACACACGCAGTCAGGCAGGCAGGCGAGCAGGCAGCAGTATTGGTACGGTCCCCTTCGTTCCGTTTCGGACAACTCACGCACACTCGCGACGGCCGATCTGTATATATATATACAACGGGCACGGACACACAGACACAGAAAACACGTCGTTTCACGTCGTACTCTCCGTTGTCGTCGTCGTCGTCGTCGTTATATTCTCTCTCGATGCGTATATTTGTTATAAAACGTCGCTGACTCCGACTCTTTTGGCTGTGCTGCTGTACGCTGCTGTATACTGCTGCTGCTGCTTCTGTTGCTGCACACTCACGCACATACACGCATATATATCTGTATATATTATTATGTGTATATATATTATAAGCGCGAGCGCGCGCGCGCGTTTAGCTTTATGATATATAAAAATCGTGTGTGCACACACTGGGGTCGAGGCGAGTCGAAATATATATATATGGACGATATATATGTGTGTATTCTGCCTCTCGGTCACTGCTGCGAGCGGAGCAGCGCGCGATCCTCTCCCGTCGTGTGTATAAGAGAGATATATACTTTGCACTGTACTACTGCGGCTCTCTCGCTCTATCTCGCTCTGCGATTCGCTCGCTTCTCTCTTTCTCTCTCTCTCTCTCTCTCGTCGCTTGGAGCGCGCGGGGGGCTTGCTTATATATGTATATGCACGTATATGTAATATATATATAACACGTACATATATATGTAACGTAATATATGTATATATGTGCAGGCGAGTCGCGAATCACGCTTAGTTGGAGTTTATAGCGCGGCAGCACACACAGGCACTGGCACTACTATATTGGCCTGCTCTCGCGCTCGGCTCGAGCCTCTGTTTTTCTCCAAGGCAAAATATAAGATGGCTGCTGGGGCTGTATATAGGCGCTTGCGGCTGGCAGTATGTACGCGCTTGGTATTATGCGCGAACTTGGCTCTATGCTGCTGCTGCTGCCACACTCGATGCTGCTGCTGCTGCTGTTGGCGATGCTCCGCGCGCGCGGGACTGTCCGTCCTTTTCGCGCTCGCACAGAGAGAATCACTGCCTGACGCGCTATATATGTATTCGAGCCGAGCGAGTTGCGCCTACACCTCGTTCTATCTCTCTCTCTCGCTCCGTCGATGCGTAGCTGTGTGAGTGCTTACGTTGGCTCACTCACACATATAGAGGCCGAGTGAGCCGAGTAGGGGCGATTCGCACAGGCATACATATAGAAGCAGAGAACCCGACGACGAACGACCGAGAGCGGCGCAGCGCACGAATACGTACGAACGAGCGAGAGAGCGAGAAAGAGAGAGAAACTCCGAACTCGTTCGACGCGACGGTAGTCTATATTTATGACGACCTATACATGGTACGGACTACGGATATATCGCGAAGCCAAGTCTTCTTCGTCGTCGTCGTCGTCGTCGGGAATATATATAGTCTTGAGATTCTCGGATGCTCCTCGCGCGAATCGCTATAACAGCAGTGCGCGAAAAGCCGCGTCGGACGAGCTGAGCTCCATCTGGCGTTGATTCGGCATACGCAGGCCCGCGATGTACAAAACTCGATCGCATCATGCCGCTCTCGCTCGGAGCTTATAACGCGCAGAGTACGAGAGAGAGAGAGAGAGAAAGACGACGAGGACGCGATCGCCACCCTCGCTAAGGCCGGTTTTAATTGGCGTTCGAGGCGGCGCAGCCGAAGACGACGGACAGCCGATTGGTCCGAGTAGGATATAGTTGACGACGACGCCGACTCGAGACTCGGAGAGAGCTCCCTCGCCCGCTACTGCACACGAATATAACACACAACTCTCGATTTCCTTCTCCATCCTCGGCTTCGTCTTCTTCTTCTTTTCTTTTTCTTCGTCGTCGTCGTCGTCGTCGTCGTCGTTGTCGTCATCCACTTCTTGGCTGAGGCTCTCTCGCTCGGCTTTTGCAAGTCGCTTCGCTTGCTTCTCTCTCTCTTCTCTCTGTACGCCCTTGCCTTATACCGAACGCAGCTTATCGCTGTATATAGCAACTTGGCAGTGGCGGCATAACTGCTACTGCAAATTTCCTTCCTTCTTCCTTTTTTTTCGTCAGAGTCCTTTTTTGTCCTACGAAAGGAAGTGACAACTTTGCATTATGTCTCTTATAGTTGCCCATTCATCATTATTCATTCTCCTGTTTAGCGAATGAGTTGAATTTTTAGCGCCGAGAAGTCGGCTGGTGCGTTCGTCAATCCCAAAGGCATCCCGTATTATAGTCGCATATCGAAGGGAGCAATCGATTGGTTCTCTTTCTCTCTCTCTCTCTCTCTTACTCACTCAGCGAGTCAGGCGCATTAGCGAGCTTGAATTCGCAAGCATGTCTGTGGCTATAATACGCGTGCACCGTGTGCAATGGTGTATGGCTGATACACATAATGCGCTGCACGACAGAACCAAGTGTCGATAAGCGTATAAATGTTTTCGCGCGCGCACAAGCGAGAGAGAGCTTCTCACCGATACATATATAGTTATAATATGTATAATCTCACGTATGTGCGCAAGCGGCCGACTCTATATATATACAATAGTAACGCAGCTTTTATTGCCAAGCACAGTGGAGCTCGGTATATACGTTCGTTCGTTCGTTCGCTCGCTCGCTCGCTTGCTCGCATTGATCAGGACACGTCATTGAGCACGGCAGCGGCATCGGGTATATTCGCGTTGCATAACGCTTAGCTAACTACTGTATTTGCAGAGAGTCGTACCGTAAGCGCAAATTGCAGCAAAGACGACGTCGACGACAACTCGGAGCCTAATTGTTTAAACCAATTATAAAACGCGTACCAACTGCTCCCGAGCGCGCCTATATACGTATTTATACGACAAATACGACGATGTCTTGTACAAAGCCGCGAGCTTCTCGATGCTTATATAGCAGGGCAATATAACACGCGCATCTTCGGGTCAGCGACGGTGAATTTCTCTCTCTCGACGAGATCCGTCATTTTGCGGCCATGGCTGCATCAGCAGCAGCAGCAGCAGCAACGGCAACCTCTCCTCGTGCCTTTTATACTCCGGCTTTTATGTATTATACGCATGCAGACGCACACACACAGCGAGGCACACATACAGAGGATTTCTGCAGCCTCGACTCGAGCCGCAAATCGATTCCTCCTTTTTCCCTTCCCCCCCGCTACCTATATAGTAGCCGCCTGTGCGCGGCTCCGAGCCTCTCGCGATCATCATCGCACATCGCGAAAAATCTTTCCCGCAATCAGCCCCTTACTTGGGTATATTATTCACGTTTTCAAATGTAGGATATATATGCGTCCGTAACGTGCTCCGACTCTCGCTCTCCGCGAGCTCGCCTCGTGTTTATATATATAACACACGTGTGCTTTATATATATGCGTACTATTATTGTATATATAAAAAGCGATACACAAGACTTGCAGCCCGTACATATATGTATATCGGCACGACGAGAATACTATACATAGATATACCGTACATGGAAGAGACGATTACATATACGGTCGCTCAGGCTGCTACAGATATAGCGTCAGCCATCCGTATAGCGTCTTTGCAGGCGGGCATAGCTATTTCTAGCGCTTGCGCATGTCGCGCGAGTGCCTTGCACGTTATACCGTGGTTATACCGGTTGAGGGTTCTCGTCTCGCTTCGCGATGCTGATCGCCGCCGCCGCGTTCGCGTGCTCCGTCATTCGTGTTTCCATGACGGTTACCTCTTGCGCTCTCGCAGCCGCGTTCGCCCCGACGATAGCTCGGCTGACCGACGGCGCAGCTTGACGCCAGCTGCCAAGCGGCTTCAAGCACCAGGCGACATCTAGCTGCAAACTTTGGCCTCACTCTGTTTGGCGACTCTATCTCCGTCTCGCTCTGACAGTCAGTCCGTAAAATCGCGAAAGCTCGCGGCAGTATCAACGGCAGCCCGTCCAGTCAGTCAGTCAGTCGATATACACACACAGTCGCACGCACACGTCAGTAGTAACATACACGCACGAGACAGGCTCGCAGGCAAGACTTCGGAGCACACAGTTGATTGTTCGCTCGACTCGATAAGAGAGACTGCATGTCAAACATTTTTATCGCTCGTTTCTACGCTTGACTTTTCTATCGCGAAGGAGGGAATCTCATCCAGGCAGACGCCGCACCCCGAGGACATTATTCATCGTCGTCGTCGTTCCTTGGCCGGAACTTTCACCGACTAGCCGACTTTTTTGCCGACTTGGCTGCTCGCGCTCGCTCACGTCCGTCCGTGCGTTTCTCTGGTCTTCGAGGAGGAAAATTCATTCTAGTCACGTGCGAGGATTATCTTTTGCAAAAGTAAAACTTGCGACCTTTTTGGCTTTAACGCGGTATCGAACGTATTCAACGCTAGTTATCAAGAACGCCGAGAAAACCCACTTTTTCTCGATTCTTCCTATCGCTGAATTGTCGCTATTGCTCAAAGTTCCAGGTGAGTTTTATACAATGTATTATAAAATTATTTAATTCTTCATCTCCGCGCCTATTCGCATAAACAAAGTTCATTCGTGGTATGTTGCCCTCTTATCATCTCTCGTCCAGTATATTTACGCGTACAATTCTGCGCGCTAATCCTCCTCGTTTCCACATGATAACAACAACTACGATAGATATTTTGTCAACAAATATATAATTCAACGAAACAATTTCCGCAGAATGAATCGATCAATGTGTGAACCAGTCACCGAGGCGTGTATTGATAACATCATCGGCCAGATGCCGGTTACAAAACCGCATATTTATTGCAAAGATTGTAATTTACAATTCACCAGCTATGCAGTCCTCGACGCCCATATACAAGGCGCAAGGCACGCCAAACAGGTACTTTTGCTCTATTCACGATTTTTCCATTTTCTTTTTTTTATCGAAACTAATTGTGCAATGTGCAATTCTTTTGTTCACAGGTTAAATCTAAAACTTTGCTTGAAACTATGCAACAAGCCAAAGTCAATTTTAGCAAAGATGTTGAAACAAACTATTTTGCTTGCAATGTGTGCAAGGTAAATCTGAATTCCATCCAACAACTGCACACACATCTGAATGGTAGGTTCCAAGCCTCTTTACACCAATTTAATCAATAGAGGCGACAATTGCAATAATCATTTGTTTAATTTTAGGAAGCCGTCATAAGAAGACATTGAACAAAGGTAACAAACCAAAAGTAACTAAAAAGCTTTCGCTTTCCTTTAATTCAAAGCATCCTAGTCTTGCAGATTTTAACAAACTTATTCAGAAAAATGCTTTTGTTCTAGTATCTCTTTTACTTTTCATGGCTTTTTCATGTTTTGTATTACTTTTAACTTGTATTATGTCATATGTGCGCTAACTATACATGTTTTGATGACTCTTTTGATTTATTCAAAAGTTTTAAATTCAATTTATTTTTAGTCTCTATTATTCATACTGTTTGGTAGATCCTTTATCTTGATTGCAATTGCTTATGAATACTTTGAAAAGCCATTTTTGCTACAATTATGGCTTTAGTAAACCGAAAAAAATCGAAAATGAAGAAAAAATTGTATGTACTCTAAAAATACTACAACATTTAAACCCTTGTGCTTTATTCAGTTGATTCGAATGGCAGCTACTAGATGAACTTCAATTTGTACCAACATGGTCTCGCGAATTTATTCTTAAATTGGCATTCATCTAGTGGTTGAAATTGTGAAACATTTGAGTAGAGTTACAAGCTAAATTTAAAAATGGTTCTTCAACTTTTCCCTTCATTTCGATTGATTGAATTTACTGAAATTTGAGCCAATCAATAAATTAATAGAACTTTCTAATTATACTGATTAAAGTATCCATAAGCTTGATGTGAAAAAGAAAAAAAGTACCTTACAGTATTTATAATAGACGTTAGGAAAATTTACGTTTTTTTGATAATGCTATGTTCAAACCAAAGTTAGATGTTTGTGAGTTTTTGCGTTTATTTTATATTGTTAAATCGTTATAAATTTAAGAGTGTTACAAAGAATTGTTATGTTGGATAAAAACGACAAGTATTACATTATATAATGTTAAATCTATTTTTTATATATTTTTTTTGTAGAAGGTACACCTACTTATAAAAGTGAAATAAACAAAGTGCATTTTCACTCTTTAATATAATTCTCTATCTTTAGTTTTTTTGTTTATTTTTTTTCCTAAATCTGTGCTGTATGCTTTTTTCTCTTTTGCTTTTAATACTTTCTACAACTTTCATGTAATTTTATAAATACTTATAACTCAGCCCCAAAAGGTGTGAAAACAATTTTTATATTTTTGTCACAAGTGATTTTTAGCTTGCATGTTTCAAAAATTATGGCAAATATTTTTTTTAAAAAGACAAAACAATACAATTTTTGTGGCATAAATGTAGAGTTCAAACTGATTTATTATCACATGATGTTATTAAAATTTGTGATAAATAGATAGTGTTGACCATACATTGATGCTTAGGTAAATCATCCGACGTGAAGGAAGTAGATGTGGCATCACTAAAGTCCGAGCCTGTCTCACCTCAACCTGCCGTACAGCCTGATAGTACCAAGCCAGTCAGTACTCCAAAGCAGGCAGCTAACAGTATAGTACTATCTTGTACTCCATGCAACAAATTGTTTAATTCACAATCACAATTGGAAGTGGTATGTACAGTTGAAAAATTAATTAGAAAGAAATAAATGTTATAATTTAACTTTTTACTGTGTTCCAGCATTTAGCTTCTCAGAAGCATTTGAACAAGATCACGAATAAAAATAAGCCAAATAGATTCTCTCCATACCAAAAGAAAACTACTCCAGTCGACTCAACAAAACAACTGGACGATAATTTTATTTCAGGTGGTTACATTTATCCTGAAGCCAAAGTTGACTATTCACAATTTCCGATGTACGCTCATTGTAAGCATCCTGACTATTAGATTTTGTTATTGCACGCAGCAATGATTTACGTGAAAATTATATAACCCAATTGTGCTAGAAAATAATTAAGTCATATAAATTATTACTTTGCGATTAATTACTAGCGAAAATGAGCATTAATAGATAATTTAAAAGTTATGTATAATTTATGTATGTTATTTAAAAAAACGAATTAAATCTTAAAGCAATTGTCAAAGAGGGAAGAAAACGATACTACTCTCTGTCGAATGAACTTTATTACTAAAAATGAGAGGAATATTTCGCTGGCTTAACCGTCAAAGCGGACTTTTCTTCATCTGGCTGTAAATAAAAAGTGAATTGAAATTTAACAATAAAGCATGTTGATCATGATGAATGAAAACGAAGCGTAAGATTCATTGTTCAAACTCACACAATCGTTGTAGGACTTCAACAAACGTTGAAGCTCCTCGTTCTGGGTCTTCAGAGCTTCGACCTCGCCGCTGAGCTTGTGTCGCTCCTTCAGCACCTCGTGATACTTGGTCAAGCCCATCAGTATGGCGTCCCAGAGCTTCTCCTTCTGCGTGCCAAACAGATCTCGATAACTTGCCCAGAAAGCCTTGACGTCCTTCTCGGATATGTTTCTCGAGATCGTGTACTTTTTCTCGCGCAGCCTCTCCTCGAACGTGAGCAACTTTTTCTGCTCGGCATTGCTCAGTTTCGATATGATCTCCTTCATGGCCTTGGTGACGTGGGCCGACTGTATCTGCAACACGTGGCCGAACTCGCAGGTGAATTTGCTCTTGGCGTGGCGCTTGCAATTTTCCTCGTCCTCGGGTTTGTCGGCGCCATCTTTGTCCGACTCGGTGGACGAGTCGCTGCAGTCGCAGGTACAGGCACTGGTGGAGCTCTGCTTCTCGGCGTCCTCGGCCGCCTTCTTGATCTCCTCCTTGACCGTTTCGACGAGGGTCTTGACGTGCTCGTCGGCCTCGCAGACGGACGGGACTCCTCCGGTGAGTTCCGGCGTGCAGCTGCACACCGACTTGCCCGAGCTCGAGCTCGACGATTTGGCCCTGATGGCGTTCTCGCACTTGGCCACGCAGATCGGACAGTAGGTGTACGGCAGGAAGAACTCGAGGATCAGATTTATCTCTTCCGGCGAAGAGATGGACAGAGCCTGAGAAAAAGATCGGTAACTTAACTCACAAAGAACACGCGTAAGATAAGGAAGGGGAAAAAAAGCCTAGGTCAGGTTTTACGTACTTGGAAGACATTCTCGAGCTGTATGATGGTTCTCTCCTGCTCCGATCGGTCGGCAATGAGCTCCTGCAGCTTGTCCTCGATGAGGTAGCCCGAGCAGTTGGCTATCTGCTTGAGGATGTTGTTAAGCACCTCCCGCTCGAGCTTCATGTCCGACAGCGACTTCTTGGCTTTGTCAAAGTCGAAGATGTTGACCCTGTCGCGCTCCTCTTGTTTTTCTGTAAACACACACATCGTAAGATATGCAACGAGAGCGGCATAAATTCGACTCCTTACGTTTCTCGATGAAGTTGACGGCCGCTCGATAAGACGGCAGCTCCTCCTTGGTCAATACCGAGTTGTCCGGTGGCTCCCAAAGTATGCCCAGCGTGCGCTCGTAAATGTCTCGATCGGCCGCGAGAATCTAATGACGAAAAAGAGAGAAAAAGTGCGGAGTTTATACGCAAGAGTATACATGGGCTTCGTGTGGACGTAAAGTACCTTTTTGAGCAGTTCATTGGCCGTGTGGGTGTTCATGTCCCAGATGTCGAGGTACTGCTTCTCGTTGACCCGGGTAAAGTGCACGGACTTGTCCTCGAGCTCGGCTATGCTCTTGTGCGCCCTGAGTATCTGCGAGCTGAGGCGCTCGATCTCGAGCTTGGTGCTCTCCTCGAAGTCGGCGTAGTTCTTCTTGAGATTGGTCAGCAGGGCCTGGAGCTTGTTGATCTTGCGCTTCTGGAGACTGGCCACGACGCTGTTCTCCTCCTCGCGGCTCTTGAGCACCGTGTAGTTGTAGGAGAGCTTCTCGGCGTTGAGCAGGCAGAGGGCCTTGGTGCGCTCGAGCTGCTGCTGCAGATCCTGGCACTCCTTCTCGAGCTCGATCTTCTGGGCGCGATACTCCTCGTCGTGCTCCTGCATCAGGCGCTCCATCTCGCGCTCGTAGTCGTCGAGTATGGCCCGGCGCTTGCGATCGCCCTCGGCGTCCTCCTCCTCCTCCTGCCTGTAGAGCTCGTCCCACTTGCGCTCGAAGCTCGCCACGAGGGCGTCGCGCTCGCTCTTGATCGTCTTGGTCACGAGGTCCAGCTCGCGATCGTACGAGTTCTCCATGGTCGTGATCTGGTTCTCGATGCGCTCGATCAGCAGCCTGATGTCGTCCTTCTGCCTGCGCTGGTCCTCGAAGTACTTGTCGTCGGCCTTTCGCAGGGCCTCCTTCAGCTCGAGTATGATGGCGTCCTTCTTAGCCAGCACCTCCTCGCACTTGTCGCGCTGCCAGTCCATCTCGCCGTTGATGTCGAGCGGATCGTTCGAGGCCAGTATCGCCGGCCATCGCTCGCTTATCACGTCGTAGAGGACGCGGCACTCGCTCGCGCTGGCCTCGAGGCGCTGTAAGAGCTGCTCCTGGATCTCGGCTGCCTCGCGGCGACGCTCGAGCTCGCGCGCGTCGTTCGCCACTCGCACATTAGTGATCTGTTGTACGAATCAAAACGAAAGACTCGGGACGATTCGTGGGTGAAAAGTAAGCCAAGATACGCATTCGCATGTACTCACGACTTCATTTCCCTCGGCGAGGAGATTTTCCAGAAGCTCGGCGCTCTCCTGGATCTGCTTCTCGGTGAGCGTCTCGTCCGTCACCTCGTGCTCTTCGATCACGTCGTCGACATAGCCGTCCAATCTAACCGCGTGGGCAGATAAACAATTAAATCGAGACTATCTAGAGTAAAAAAAGCCGCAAGAAGAAGGTGGTTCGTTACTTTTGCAAAGCCTCGACGCGCCTCTGTATTCGTAATCTGCGGGCGAGCTTGCGCTCGTTGGGATCGGTGGACAGCGTCGACGGCTCCTCGCAGCTACCAAAGTCCTTGTCGATTAAGCTCGACTTGATCGACATGACGTAGCTTTGTTTTTCCTAAATCTGTGGACGTCTCCGTGCTCACCAGCAGCGGACGATCTCGCGACGTCGGCCGTGTGCTCCTGCCGATCGCCGACGGACACGGCCTGAAGAAGAAGCTCTCATCGTCATGGCATTTATCATTGTTATACGTTACCTGCGTTATATCGCAGTCGGGCTCTGCTGCCGTTGTTGGTGTATGCATGTATGCGGGCGTGTTTACATGTACGTATACACGTGGGCGCCTGCACGATGGTGTGCTGACGCGCAACGAGGCCAGAGAGCAGCAGAACGATCGAGCAGGCCTACGACGTAACCAGTGGTAACGAGGAAAGTATTTGGTTGATAAAACCGGTCGATAAGGGCGTATCTCTTGCTGCTTTGCGCTGCTATTTGCGCGGCGCGATCGTCGCTGCTGCTGCTGCTGCTCTCGACTCGACGCTCGGTGTCTACAGATGTCGCCACTTGACTAGCCTAGAGCGCGCGAGAGAGCAGCAGAGACGAGCATCCCGTGCGCCCATTATTCCGATTTATTCCATCGACGCTAGTATACATCGTTTGAAAACCTATGGTTTGTGCATATGAGTAAGTATATAATGGCAGTTCTCGATCGCTTCTCAAAATTTGCACTTGTATTATACGGGAAAAACAGAGTGGCCCAAGCAAGCTAGAAAGTACGATGTATGTTCCTGTACACGAGGACTCGTCTCGTAGCGATCGTTCGCACCAAGTCACATACGAAGGAGCAGCAGTTTTACGTCTTGAGAATCGTCGAGAAAATTTTTCCTATACATTCGACCGTCGAGCTAACAACAATTAGGACGGCTCCATAGCGTGAGCCGAGTGCAGCTCGGCAGTACACTTGTTTGTATAACACACTCACAAGTTATAGCGGCCGTGCAACTCGTAACCGAACGAATCCATTGATTTTTTAAAAGGCATTTGCAGGGCGATTCCATCGCGCAGCTATAATTATCGTTACGTATAACGAATATCGATCATCGATAGGATAAAGAGCGAGAAAAGGACGAGGCCGGACCGTCGATGAGACCATGGCCAACGATCGGTACCGTATTATTTTCCAGCTGGATCTATCGTCGCAATCATCGTCGTGTCATATAAGGAACGGTGGCCCCGCGGAGTGGCAAGCAAGGCTCGCAGCTGTCGGCCCGAATCGAATTCGATCGTCGCGATCGTTATCGTGGCGCGTATCATTATGTATCGTAATACGTCGCGTGAGCTCGACTCTTGTGTCTCGATCGCGAGTACGAATCGTTGCTCGCGCATACATACATCTTTACTTTACGAAGACAACGAGCGGGCGGAGATTGGAAAATTTTCGGCCGATGCTTCTGTTTGCCGCGAATGTTATAATGCAAATACATAATGATGTACGATGTATATCGAGAGGTCCGCTTGCGACTGCTCGCGAACTCGATCGAAGCAGATCGGAAAGAAAATACAACGAATTTGCTCGACTCTCATCCGCTATTGCAGCTACGGGAGATGCACGAAACTGCGCGACAACGTGTGTGTGCCTTGTACAGCTCGCTGGAGATCCGTACGAGACTCCGAAAGCCACCGTGTCTGCAGTCGATTCTACGAGGAAAATATACTCGTGCGTAAATATACCGCAGCTACGTAGCAGCGAAATTCGATCTTCTTGAGCGCTTAATGCGTATAGTTATATATCCAGCACGTGCCGCATGCAAATATATCTATAAAAGTATGCTGTATACGAGCACACACATACTGCGTGTATGTATCTATGAAGCATAGAGGCTCGAGACACGGGACTTTTCGCGTTAGTTACATACGTGTGTGTGTACAGTCCTCCTTATCTCTCGGAGCACCTCGTATGTGCATTTGAGCTCTCTCGCGGCGTTTATATACTGCATAGGTAAAAAAAAAAGCACAGCAGTACTCTCTGTACACATACACGAGCTCGTTGCATGCATGTATATCGTTTAAACCGTTAGAGTAACGCGTGCGACTCCTATATAGATATAGCACATAGTAGGCGGCTGTACTGCAGCAACGAGCTCGACGACCATCCCATGTTCAGATGTATAATAATAGTAGTAGTAGTAGCAAAGTACGCAGATGTATAATATATATTTCTCTCCTGCAGCTCTGAATATTATGCTCGTGCACGTTGGTATACGAGATATATATCCATGCGTGTGTGTAGTGTGTAGTGCTGCTGCTGCTGCTGCTGCTGTACTGGTTGTGACGAAACGAGGATACGCGCTACTTTCGAGAGCTGCGTGTTACATTGGAGTCGAGCTCTGCGGGCTGCGTCGGAGTGCGTATATAGTACATGTATGTGTATTATACGGCTGAACTGCATGTGTGCGTGCTGCGAGTTGTTGTACCTGTGCGTCTGCACGACTCGGTAAATGTATATAATAATAAAGTTCAGCAGCAGCAGCGGCGGCAGCGGTGGCGGCGTTGGCAGTAACTGCTGCAAGCCTATATATGCTGTTATGTACATGTGGAAGGTGCACTGCACCTCGAGGTGTACTTATAATACACAGCCGCTCGCTCGTTCGCTCGCTCGAGCCGAGTCTCGCTTCGTAAGACATCGTTACATATATATCGAAGTCGGGGGCTTTGCTGCTGCTGCTGCTGCAGAGCCGCGCGCACGAGCGCAGAGAGCCGATCTCCATATATACTCTACAATATACCTATATAGAGTGCATACGTTTTTTTTCTCTCTCTCTCTTCTTTTTTTTTCCTTTTTCTGTTTCTCCCTTCTCTCTCTCTCTCTCTCTCTCTCTCTCGTTCTTTCTCTTTCTGGTTCTGGCGATCGCGCGATATTCTCCGTATAAATATAGGTATACATAAACATACACACGCGGCACATGAGCACTGCCTCGCTGCGGCTCTCCAATGTAGTAAATATATATAGGTGGTATACGGCTGTTGCGGCAATAACAGGTATTCCCCGAGGTCGAAATCGCTTCTTTTTATTTTTCTTCGCTCGTTCGTTCGTTCGTTCGCTCGTTTTTTTCTCTCTCTCTTTCTTTCGTTACGCAAAAAGACACGTGCGAGCAGGCGGCGGCGGCGGCGGCAACGCATATACCTATATAAATACTGGTATATACGCACTTCTCGGACGCGGAGCGCACGTAATTCCTCGAGCTCGCTCGTGTATTATATACGAGTGCTGCTGCTGTGGCTGCGTTCGTGCAACGCGCGATACCACCAGGCTGCATGACGAATTTTCTCGTATTTAATAATATCGAGCTGCCGTTGCGGATTTATGCGTCGATGCGTACAATTTTGGAATTTCCAAGCCCAGTCCTCCCAGACTCGGATAATTTCCATCGCGAGAGTCGTAACGTATTTATTCGAATCGACAACGACTCCGACGACGACGATGACACAAATAGCAACGACACGCCGCCTTTATATTCATATAATAGAGGCACGAGAGAAAAAAATTTCGGAGCAATATACACTACGTTTTATGGCGTATAGGATGTGGCGAGACACCGCCAACGCCACGACGCCGACGCCGTAGCCACCTCGTCGGGGTGTGTACAATGTGTGAGTGTGTTGTGGGCCGACCAAGGGGCGAGGCACATCCTATATAGCATGATACACACACACACACACTGCAGTTCATGACGTCTGCACTCGGCTATCTATTCGCAACTATACAACCATCCATCCGTCCATCCACGTGCAGAAAAGCGGCCCATAGGGTACGCTGCTACGATATACACTACGACGAGATATATAATGCGCGAGGTTCATCGTATGCAGGCCGTGTATTCGCGGATCGAGCATTAGGATGCTTCTCGCATGCACCGCCGAGTATGATGCACGATATGTATATGAAGTCTCGCGGCGTACGAAGCAAAAGAGGGAAAGTGCCTGCCAATCGTCCGACTCTGCGTGCTCAGCCCCGCCAACGTGTGAGTATGTATATGAGTATATGTGTGTGTATGTGTGTGTGGCGTGCGGGGGTGGGAGAGAGTATGGCACGAACGACGAACGACGAAGAAATGACTCGCGGACTATGTGCCATGTTATTACACATATATCGGTACGTAGGAAGATGTCTCGCCTCGCAACTCTACGTCGTACGTGTACATGTTTTATACATGTCTTTTGCAGTGCAGCGGAATAACCGCGGGACTAAATGTATCGCACACAGCTAGCTCCAAGTACAATTCATGTAACGCGTCGAATTTCTTCGTTTTTTTTTTTTTTTACCACCACAATCGGAGAAAATATAATAATAAAATACGTAGACGTCGTCTCTCGAATTTACGCTGTTGATAAAACTCCAGAATACTATAGGCATAATTATGTCGCCAAAACACTGCGATATTTCGTCGTTACAATAGTTGCTGACGTCGAGGAGGCCGCCACAGCACTGCGGGCTCGCTCGGCCGCAGCTCGTTCGACCCGAGAGGTTTGCAGGCGCGCACGACTCGGAGCATCGCCGTCGCCGCCGCCACCGTTGCCACCTCCCCTCGTTGAGCCCCTTCGAGCGAGCGATGCCTACGAGTCGTGCTGCTATATGCATGCGCCGCTGCCAGCAACGAATACGTGCGCGCGTCCCTCCTCGACTAGTCTCTCGGCCTTCTCCTCGGCTCCTTTTCGCGGCTCTCGGCTTATATCGTTTTCTGCGCTGCCACTCGCATGCTCCGATCGTGCTGTGCTGCTGCTGCTGTCTCGGATATTCTCCCTCTTCTTCTTCCCCTACTCGGTGCCGATTACTGCTCCTCGCGCAGAGCTCTCGTGTATGTGTGCGTGCGCATACACTCGTGCATCAGAGAGAGAAAGAGAGAGAGACACACACACGCACACATTTACACACACAGTCGAGCTTATATTTGCAGCGCACGCGATAAACTCGTTGCTGCCGCTGCTGCTCCGCGCTTGTGTGCCTCAACAACCAACTTTTATCTCTCTCTTTTTCTCCTCTTTCTCTCTCGCTCTGCCTTGTATGCGTGAACACGTCTTTCTCTCTTTCTCTCTCTCTCGCTCCCGCTCTGTGCGCGCCGAAGCGAGCCAAGCGGAGCCCTCGTTTTTTTTCTTTTTTTTTTTTTTCGTATACTTCTTTTGGACAGAGTTTTTCTCTCTTTCTCTCTCCCGGCCGTGCTACGTGCGCTTGCCAGTATTTACCACTGTATATAGCTATACGTGCATGCACGACGCACACTACTCTCTCGCGCGCTCACACACACGCGTACACACAAGTACGCGCATAAAACTCGGCGCGCTTGGCTCGCAGGCAGCGACTGGTATATATTATATATATCGCGCTCGAGCTCTGCCATCCACGCGCGCGTATATAGGCACACACCGTTGCCGCGCTGCAGTTTCGATTTTCCATTCGCGCTCGAGCCTTTCTTTCTTGCAGCAGCTTATATAGATATATATATAAAGGCGAACAAAAATATATATACGTATATGTGCATGCTGTGCCGCTGCTGCTGCTGCTGTTACTTCGCTCTTGGCTGCGATGCCGCTTCTGCTATACTCGTTCCGCGTTCGATTTGTTTATTTTGCCTATTTACTAGATCCTCCAGCTATATAAGCTCCACTGCTGCGCTGCTGCTCTTGCTATATAGCCTGGTTGCATCAAACTGCTATACGTCTCTCGCGCTCGCTTCACAATTCGCTTCATGTTACTTTTATTTTTTTCCACTTTATTTTTTTTCGAATGCCAGGGCCTTCTCTCTACCTGCGCACACATAACTTTTTTTTTCATCTTTTTCTCTTTTCGTCTCTTTTCTTTTATTCGTAACTTTGCCACCTCATCCTGCGCAGCTCGCACTCTTTCTCTCTTTCTCTCTCGGCCCTCCGTAATATACAGATATACATCTAGAACTTTTGCTGCCTTTTATTTCATTTCCTTCTTATTTTCTCCACTTCGACTGCAGCAGAGCAGCGGCGGCTCTTTTTCTGCCGCCCTGCAGCGTGCTACACGGAGCAGCAGCAGCAGCAGCAGCGGCAGTCTCCGGCAATAGAACGGGGAATAGTGTTTCTCGCTGTATATATTTTCAACTCTTTGTATCTATGTGTATGCTGTGTATGCTTGGCAGCTCGACGTATGCATGCATGTATACACATTGACTCTCATATTTACGCGCGGGCACAGTCCAGTCATCATTACTTATGCGCTCGCGTACACTGCAGCGAGTTTCCATTCGAGAGAGGCAGAGAAAAAGAGAGATAGAGAGAGAAAAGTCACGCCTAGGAAAGAAAAAACGAGAGGGAAAAAAAAATCAATTCCATTAAAACACCGGATGGTACGTTATATGGCAGAGCAGCGAAGCCAAGCGTATTTCAATGCTGCTCCAGCTCAGCAAAAAAAAAATGTATATGCACGACGTGCGAGAGACGACTGATGTGAAATTCATATTATAATATACGCGAGCGACGTCGCGTATTATAGCTACGGTTCCGATGATGCTGATGCTGTTGCTGCAATAAGCAAGGATCAAATGTCCAAAATCGAGTGTCATCTCGTTTCGCCTCGAGGCATCGTATATAGTAGTCGTCATATCATTTTGGCTTCGTGCTGTATAGCGAGTCTTGTTTCCCCCCGCGACATTGGGCGCGTCGCACACGGGGCCAATAATTAATCGCGATGGGAACGTAATAAAAGAATAATAATACGGCGAATCAATGCGATCGAACACATGCACGGCGTACAGTACGTACAGTACGTATACGCGTATCGCATGTGTGTTTTTTCGCTCTCTCTCTGTCTCTCTTTCTCTCTCCACATCTCGTTTCGTCTCGCAAGGCTCGAATATATGTTGTATTATATCCATTATATGTATACTGTAGCCGACTGCCGAAGCGTACATGTACGCGTACTATATATTCTGTATGAGGCAGCATGTATATAATGTACACACACATACGAATGTACTTTTCTCTCTCTCTCTCTCTCACTCGTGGTGCACACAGGCTTGGCTTCGCACGGCACCCAACTCTATATACACGTAGTTGTGGCAACGTCGGGAGCAGTTTTCATCTCTATATCTTTCTCTCTTTCTCTTTCTCTCTCTCTCTCTCTCTCTCTCGCTGTCGTGCGCTCGTGCTTGCTATATATGCTGTTCACGGGCCTCGCGCGCTCTCGGCTGTGTCCTACACTCGAGGAGAGACTCGAGAGTCGAGCTGTGCTATACCCACACACACACACATATACACACAAATATATTATATACCTTACACATACATAGAGACAGGCGCACAGACAGAGACGCGCGGAACGAGCGAGCGGCGCGCGCGACCGACCGAACTGCTATTATGAAGCAACAGAGAAAGACGGAGAGTGAGCGAGAGAGAGAGAGAGAGAGAGAGAGAAAGAAAAAAAAAGTTGCTTTACAATGACCGTAGCTAGAAATTTCGGTGCCACGTTCCACAGGCCTTGGACACATTTACTCGCACGTTTCGTAGCATTTTTTCACGGCCTTATGGCCATGCGATGCCGTGTGATGTTACGATTGATTCGACACCCTGCGATACATATAAATTCCTCGAATATTAGTGATATAGTCGTCTTTGTACAAAAGCCCCTATACAAAGAAACAGATAAATTTTTACGAATAGAAACTCGCTCAATTTTACCGGCAACGGACATGTTCTGTCAGTACATGGTGGAAAATGTGGTGCACGAGGCTCGATACACAAAATTTCGTTTGTTTCCTCGCGATGGATCACAGTTTCTGCATTTACGACTGTTTCGTTGTTGTGTGCATCATAAGCACGAAAATACCTCTATTGCGAGGCGTAATTTATTCATACTCGAGCGCTGATATTCGGTAGCACGGAATGTCTTTTTCGACCGCTACAATATGCACGATTTAGTGAGCAGCAGCAGCAACAGTGATCGTCGTATTCGTGCCATAGGCACGTTTCGACGCTTTTCACGCGCATCGCACGATAAGGAATTAAACCACGTATATGTATTTATGTCGACGCGCGTGTTTCTGCAATATACCTGTATAACTCCATTTTTGCTATATATAATATACACCTATACAACATAATCGATGCAAAAATGTGCGCCGCTCGAGTGGCTTGGCAGTAGTTGTTTTGCCTACGCACTTCCGACAGAGAGACAGAGAGAGAGAGAGAGAGGCTGTCGATTAGCTTTCCCGACTGGCGTTGAATAATTCATTTTTACCCGGATTATTTCGTCGCCCTGGGTAACAACGTGTATAGGATATTATATACGATATCGAAGTCGAGTCGCGGAGCTCTGTACAGCACACATGCGAGTTCTCGACGTCGTCGTCGAAACGTGCATATTTGCTTGCGAGAGCAAAAACAGATCGATATATATTATACACGGCATGATAAATGCTACAGGGGGAGAAAAGACAGAGTCTCCGTATAATGCGGCTGAATTTTTGGGGAAAAATACAATCCGCGCGTGTATAACGTCGTTATGGGTAATGACTGAGGAGAGCTCGGGCTTATATATTATATCCCTTCGTAGTACGTACAGCAGAGCAATTTCGTGTATATTCGTACTCGTGTAAGCGCAGTACGCTCGTGCGGCCATGCATCAGGAGAAAGAAATTCAAGACACGGCACTGGGGCCAACGAGCGACGGCACGCTGTGTACGTGTGTTGGACGCTCAGACGGCCTCTGCTGTAACGAGCGCGACGAAGACGGAAAATTTGAAACACAGAGAGAGAGAGAACGTTCGAACGAGCGAGTCAGGAGTATTGTCGGAGGGGTCGCTTCGCTGATGTATAGAAAACACGACTCACGCACACATGCACAGAGAAGCAGCAGCAGCAGCAGCTCGGTGCATGCTACGAGCAGAGCTCTCTGCATGTATAAAATGCTCGTTCGGTCTTTGTTGCGCTTGCGCGAGTTGGCAAAAAGGGGCGAGGGCGCGCAGGCAGGCAGACAGCCACGACGGCAGTGTAGCGTGCTGCACACATGCAACCACGAGCATACGTATAAACACACACTCTCACACAGAGAAGCAGCAAAAAGCAGGGGGGAGCGTGCTCGGTTGTCCCCCTTCCCTTCCCTCTCTCTCTCTCTCTCTCATAGTCGTTTTATGCCAAGAGACCCCACCACTCTCTAAAGCCGCCGTCGTTCTCGTCCGATCGAGGGGAAGCGTAATTCGTTCGCTATCTCTCTCGCGCACACACACTCGAAGGCGCGCACACGTACACGGAGAGCATATACGGCGCGTGAAAGCCGATCCCGGGGTGGTGGTGAGGAGGGGAGAGACAGAGCTCGGCAGCGCTCGAGCGAGCGAGACAGAGAGCTCTGCTTCTCTAGTGCCGCTTGCGAGCTCCCGCCACCGGAGTGACGTCACTCGGTGTAGTGTAGTGCAGTAAGCAAGACCCATCATCGCCCGTGTGCTGTGTGCCGCGCGCGCGCCGTTCCTCGCTTATACACCAGCGCAAGGCATTATAAGCGAGCAAAAACAACTTTTTGTGCGTGCGTGTGATAAATATATATAACTATATATATTATAATATATCATATATATTAGATATATATTATAGTTTAAATAAGGTGTGCTGTGCAAAAGCCGTGTGTGGTACAAAACGCAACGACGGCTTCGACGAAAACCACGACGACTGCGTTAATAATCATAACAACAGCAACAAGAAAGCAACACAACGTCTACGAGGCGTGCCAAGGGCTAGGCACTAACCAGCAGCAACAGCAGCCAGCGCAACGTAAAGTTTCTTCTCCGTGTGTACCTGTGTATAACGTGAGAGTGTGTGTGAGTGTGTAATACGTGCGCGTTCCGAGCACAGGCAACATCGAGGAAAACATCACGCTAGATCTCAACGCTCTCCGCAGCAGCAGCAGCAGCAGTAGCAGCAGCAGCACACAGTGTCTGTGTGTGTGTGCGTGTATATGTGTCCGTGTATCATGTGTGCATGTGTGCGTGCGTGCGACTGTGTATAACGCGGCGCAAAGTTTTCTCTCTCTCACGGAGAGCGAATAGCCCATGATGATGATGATCTATACATGTATTTACGCAGCACTCGGTCGGGCTCGCTTGTGGTAGTTACAATCAACGACATCATCAACAACATCAACGCCATCACCAAGAAGTCATCGACGACGAGGCTCAACGACAAGTGTGCGTTCCATAAACGTGTGTGTGCGATCCTGAATCAGTGAATCTCGTGTTTGTGCAAATACAACGTGTAAGCATTTATATACCACTGGGGCTATGCATATATGTGCATATACGCATGTGTGATTATCTGTGTCCGTTCCTCTAAATATCCACGATATATCCTCTCCTTTTCTTTTCTTTTTCTCTCTGCGCCTCGATCTATCTCTTTCTCAGCGTTACATACAGGCGGTACAGCATCGGTGGCAAGTCAGCGAGAACAGCAGCAGCGACTGTGTGTGTCTCTCTCTTTCAGTGGACGTGTGCTCGAAGCAGCTGCAGCACATCTTCGTCGCATCTCAGTCGCATCAGTGTGTTGCGAAAAAAAAGTTTTCATTCAGTTTTATTTATTTTTTTTATTTTTTTTTTAATTTTTTTTTAAAGTGAAGTTCGCCGGCTGTTCTGTATAAGTGTGTTATTACCTGCTGACTCCGACGAGTGTTAATATAAGCGACAAAAAGAGGAAAACATACTCGTCCATCGTCGTTTTTTCTTCCTCCCGTTTGGCCACGGTGTGCTTCTCCGCATACACTCTCTCGCACTCGCAGTGTTCACAGTGGTGTACAGTTCGATCGATCGCGGGCGAGCAGCAGAGCCGCCCGCGCGCGATATACACCCTGCGTATAGGAAGCGAGCGGAGCCACGGCGCCCATGTATAATGCCAGTGTCACCACGGTGTGAGTGTATATGTGTGCGCAAAATATATAATTCGCGTGTGTTGTGTTAAAAGAAGTAAGTTCACCCACGCACCGGCTCCGGTGTTGTCGTTCCTTCCACATGCATGTGTGATCGAACGCGTCACTTTGAAATCACTTTGAAATTGGATGAAAAATTGAATTATTCAATTCCAAGCGGTAGTGTTCGAATCGAGAAAATAACGGCCATGGGTTCATCGTTCTAAGTGTGATATGCGCCAGTGCAGTATGTGGCTTACCCACGCTTCGAGACCAGACACAGTCGCCGCCACCGCCGTCACCACCATCAACGTCAACTTTAGCATCAGCACAACGACCGGCAGCTCGAACAACGGTTCGTTTAGTTGCGCCGCGAAGAAGCAACGATTTCAATCTAGTGTTTGTTGTTATCGTTGTTAACCCCATCTCGGCAACGAGAGACGAGAAAAAAATTGAAAGAGTAAAAATCGCCGAGCTCAACATTCCCTTCTTCCCTCCACAATCCGCACGATCCACGAGGCAGAAAGTTATACATGTTGCATATGCCCATATATATTTAGTTCTATACATATTTCCTATTTTTAAAATCGTTGTTGATGATAGTTTTGTTTAGTTTGGTTGGTTTTTCGGCTTAGGTGCAGTGAGACGTCGTAGGTGCGGTTTTTGCAACAGTGTGCAACAGGAGGTGGAATTACACAGTGGAGTGTGCGTTTCTCTCATTCAACAGTGCGACAAAAAAAAATTTGAAAAAAAAACTCAACGTGTGTCGTTATGTGAGAAAACGAGCGATTTCGAAAATCAACCTCGTCTCTCTAGTGTGATCTAAAGGGAGAGAGAGGCAAAAGAGAGCATAAGGTTGTGGTGATCAACGCCGAGGCTCTCTTTCTCCGCAGGATTGCTTGTGTGTGTCGTGTTTCGAGGCTGTGTGTGTATAAGCAAGTGCCGCCAAACACGATTGCACAAGATCCGATCCCAAATGAAGAGTTCGGAGCAAAATGGTTAGAGAGACACGTCACCTGTGGGTCGGAAATCTGCCGGAAAACATCCGAGAGGAACGAATAAGAGAACACTTCAAAAGGTAAGCGATACTGACAAGACTTTTTCTTTCTTATAACTTGTATAACACGCGCGTTTTCCTATAACCTCTCATGTGTGCACTGAAACTTTGTGCGGAGCATGTGACTCTCCCGCGTACACGATGTGTTGATGATTTATCGATGTAGAACGGACGACTCTGTCTGGCTGTCTTTTCTTTTTTTTTCTGCTGTCGCCTTGTTTACAATTCCGCGTCCAAACGACTATATTCACCACGAGTCTCCCTACCTTCGGCAAGAAGCGCACGTGATTGGCGCCACACGCTCCCGTCGCGTAGTTTATATACTGCGTACACATGCCTATAATATCACGGCACATACACTCGTGGGTACTCGAATCCGCAGGCAACTTTGTCTTACTCTTTGTGAGTACGGCCTTATAATATATCCGTATAATCAGCTAAGCTCTCTGTCCCTTCACTTCTGCGAACTTCTGCGAGCAGCTGAATTTCTGATCTATGCGAGCTCTTTTCTTTCTTTCGCTCTCCCGACACACGGACACACGCTCCGCGCAGGCTGCGGCTGTCGCTGCTCGTTTCTCGCGAAAACCGAGCCCATTTTTGCCCCTACCCTACTACGTATTTGCCGCTGTTTACCGACCTCCATGACCTCGCTTACATACCAACAACTGCTGCTACTTTGGCCCTTCTATATTTATTACGGCGCACATTTATATATCGTGCTGTGTTAGATACGAGCGCGTCTGCATCTCTGAATCGGTACCTTTGACCCAGCACAGGAAAGTCCGCGCGATATCTCCAGCACATGTGCAGTATATAGATTCTCTCTCCACGAGATAGAGAGAAAGAGAGTAGTAACACAACCGGTGCCGTGCAGTCCATCGGTATCTTCGCTGCCGCCGACGCGACACACAAACAATAGGACATTATCTCTCTCACTCTTTTTCTCTCTTGAAATGGAACTATGCTGTGCAGAGTCCGCCGACATCGAAATCCGGCCTGACCTCGTGCGCAGCAGCAGCAGCGGGCGGCTCTTCTGTAACTTCGATCCACTCGCTCACATACGCGCACACACATGGCTCCATATATTCGAATTTTTTTTGGTTATATCTCGAGTGGCTCTCATCTACGCGCACCTACTCTTTTACATGCTTTTCCCGGTATTGACATGAATTTCTTTTATTTCGATTTATACCTCCTTGCGTGTACCGTGGTCTCTCTCGAGGTGCATATACACGATGCCGTAGGCACGTAGGCAATTCGATTCCAAGTACTGTATTTCATTTTTCGTATACGCGTTCACGTTAAATCAATAGATAATGTGTATACAAACAGTCTCGTATACACACATTTGCGTTTTCACACACGCATCCATGCCTACATAACACGCACGCGAAACGCTTAGACGTTATCCTCGCTCGTAATGTGTGTTTTTCCTGTGTATATGTGTATATACGAGTGCCCATATTGTTATATATATTTGGCGTTGGCAATATTGACAATATCTTATCTAAGAATCGGCGGGCTGCGTCGGTACCGCTGCTGCTAGCATACGTTATTATTATTTTCCAAGCAAACGCGCTCGCGCACTTTATATATGCTACTATACTATACGTATACGTATACATAAGGTAAGGAAAAATGCATGTAAGCATAGGATACATAACTGAGATAACAAGGCAGGAATTCAAGAGGGAAATAACATTTTTTTTGTACTGCTGCCGCTGCTCCTTCCAATAACACTCGCACGCTACCAATATTATTGCAGAGCATGTCTTCCAGTTCCATATCCACGCACACACACACACACACATACACAAGCGCACATACATGTGCAGCTCTCTTATACACTCGTATAAACACAGAGAAACAGGCGAAACACAACAAGTTTTACAACGCTGCATTTTTTCGTGTACGTATATTGTACGTATATGAGCAATTCCGGAATTTAGTTTCGAATTTTTCGACTAAAAACGGAACAATTTTTTTTCGTTGGACGCATACTTTGAACATTGGGTATTGTTCTTGAAGGTCCTAGGAAGCTAAAAAAATGCGTGAACAATCGAAATTTTAATAGGTAATTTTTTTATAAGCATTTGTGTTCCGAGGAAAAATAATTAGTGCAGGCAAAACGCGCGCTCCATTATCCACCGATCAAAACTTTTCTAATTCGCTGGTAAAACTACTAGTGACCTTGAAAAAATAATCGACACATGTATTTTGAAAGATTTTTACATGCTCTTTCCGATGGTGACCTTAGATTTTTCGAAAAACGCATTATATGGCCAAAAAAACGGCTCAAAAGTCAAGCGTATTTATACAAAAAAAACACTTTTTTGAGCTATAAGCATATATATTAGGGTGGTCCACTTTTTCAAAAATTTTTTGTATCTCGGGGGATCCATCGGAATCAGAAAGTTTGAGGTTTAAAATGAATTTTCCCGTAAACTAGAACTCAAAAAAATGATTTTAGATGGTGTCGATGGATTTTTGAAGTTTAAAAACGAGCTCCAAAAAAGAAGCAAAATCGGGCTATCATTCGATTTATTTCAAACTCTGTTTAGAGTGTAAAAATAATCTTGACAATACATTTTCTTATGTGTTTTTGTCTGCAGAATCGAATGCCGTAGTCAGTTTTGACCTAGGAGCACAATTTCATTCAAAAAAATACACTTTTTCGATCGTTCTTTTTCGCAAATTCCGCAAAGTTCATTTTCGAGCGAGTGGCAAATGAACAAAAAAAATCTAAAAAAATTTTTGACACCACCAAAATTTAGGATTTTTTATGACGAATCCAATGGTATAAATTAGTATACACTTTGAAATTATTTTAATGCAGAAAAATACAACTTTATCCCAAAAAACGACATTACGAAAAATTGAAAAATCGAAAAGTGTATTAGTTTCTTCCAGGAAATGGCTAAGTAGAATCAACTATGGAAAAAATTGCATGAAACTATCTGATAGGTTTTTTTCTCACCTTTCCAACGCCGGTTTCAGAAGTTAAAAATTCGCAAGATTCGCTGAGATACAGCTATTTTTGTACGATGCATTTTTTAGCTTAAATTCTGCTTCGCTGGTTTTTTAATGAATAGAGCTAGCTCAGAATTATTGAATTTTAAGCCTAAAAAATGCATCGTACAAAAATAGCTGTATCTCAGCGAATCTTGCGAATTTTTAACTTCTGAAACCGGCGTTGGAAAGGTGAGAAAAAAACCTATCAGATAGTTTCATGCAATTTTTTCCATAGTTGATTCTACTTAGCCATTTCCTGGAAGAAACTAATACACTTTTCGATTTTTCAATTTTTCGTAATGTCGTTTTTTGGGATAAAGTTGTATTTTTCTGCATTAAAATAATTTCAAAGTGTATACTAATTTATACCATTTGATTTGTCATGAAAAATCCTAAATTTTGGTGGTGTCAAAAAATTTTCTAGATTTTTTCTGTTCATTTGCCACTCGCTCGAAAATGAACTTTGCGGAATTTGCGAAAAAGAACGATCGAAAAAGTGTATTTTTTTGAATGAAATTGTGCTCCTAGGTCAAAACTGACTACAGCATTCAATTCTGCTGACAAAAACAAATAAGAAAATGTATTGTCAAGATTATTTTTACACTCTAAACAGAGTTTGAAATAAATCGAATGATAGCCCGATTTTGCTTCTTTTTTGGAGCTCGTTTTTAAACTTCAAAAATCCATCGACACCATCTAAAATCATTTTTTTGAGTTCTAGTTTATGGGAAAATTCATTTTAAACCTCAAATTTTCTGATTCCGATGGATCCCCCGAGATACAAAAAATTTTTGAAAAAGTGGACCACCCTACTATATATGCTTATAGCTCAAAAAAGTGTTTTTTTTGTATAAATACGCTTGACTTTTGAGCCGTTTTTTTGGCCATATAATGCGTTTTTCGAAAAATCTAAGGTCACCATCGGAAAGAGCATGTAAAAATCTTTCAAAATACATGTGTCGATTATTTTTTCAAGGTCACTAGTAGTTTTACCAGCGAATTAGAAAAGTTTTGATCGGTGGATAATGGAGCGCGCGTTTTGCCTGCACTAATTATTTTTCCTCGGAACACAAATGCTTATAAAAAAATTACCTATTAAAATTTCGATTGTTCACGCATTTTTTTAGCTTCCTAGGACCTTCAAGAACAATACCCAATGTTCAAAGTATGCGTCCAACGAAAAAAAATTGTTCCGTTTTTAGTCGAAAAATTCGAAACTAAATTCCGGAATTGCTCATATATAGGCCTCGCTCGGTCGCGCTCCTTATATTTTCTCGCGCTCTATGCTTTAGCTGCGCCGCTGCTGCTGTATATGTCTGCGTCTGTGTGTGTGTGTGTGTGTATATAATGTTGTTGCCGAAGCGCGCCCGCTGGGATCTCCCTCCCCCTTTCGGCTTCTCTCTCTCTCTCTCTCTATCGCGCGCGCGCTTTTTCGTGCTACAACGGGGTAATAATAGCCGAGGACAGCCATTTTGAGTGAGAGAGAGAGAGAGAGAGAGAGACAGCAAGAACGTGAGTTGCCGAAGTTATTGTTCTACAGTGACTCTCATTTCACAGGGGATCCCCCTTCACTGTTATAATCGTATACATACTGCCACTGCCGCTTGCTCTCTCTCTCTCTCTTTCTCCTCGAAATTCGTCGTTTTATTTCTAATCTAATGCCGCACACGCAGACCGGCTGAGTTTATATAGCCAGAGAGTTGCTATACGTAGAGAGAAAGAGAGAAACTTTTCACGAATACGTTTACCAATGCACACACATCTATATGTGCACACGCATAACATACACAGAAAATCTCTCCAACCGAGCAATAGTACATACGTATCTAACGGTCTGGACTTTGGCCTCCTACACACACACACACACAAATGCGAGAGCGTTAACCCACGTATACTTGAGTCTACGTGAGTTTGATCACGTGATACGAATTCGAGGGCTTTTTCTGGATATCCACTGTTTCATGGGGGCCGCGAGTACATATAACGTTTATCCACCAAAGCTTCTCTCT